ATTTAGAGATTCCTCATTTTTAACATCAGTAACATCTGTTTTAAGCAAACTTGATTCCTCCTTTTTTACAGATTCCTTTTCTTTAATCTGAGAGCTTGCACAAACTCCATCTGCTTTTATGGCAATACTTTTTGAGATTTGACAAGTTTGTTCACTTTTGGTAGCTTGGTTTTGATCATTCAAGCCCTCACCCTTGACATTTGACCTCTGTTCTTGATTTTTTTGAGAGATTCTGTTCAACCATTCTTCCCTCCTTGCAGAATTTGGTAACTTTTGTTCCTTATGTTTATCTGAAAATGTTTAACATTAAGAAGGTAAATTAAGTTTTGCCAAATAAGTTGCTATCCTGTCATATAAAAGTCCTTCTAGAAGACCAGTTGTAGAGAAGCAGTCAGTAAAAGCATTAGAATTTGACATTATTTGCATGGCCTAATAGAACAAAATGGTTGTCACGAGTTCTTATCTTTGTCAGCGTGTGAAAGTCTGTTGGCTGTCAACTGTAAAATGGAGGTTTGGCAAAAGGAACTGCGGATAGAAAGTTATAAGTATCCTGACAAATGAAAAGAATTGGCAAATTTATATTCCATACTTACCATCTTTAGTTTTTTTCATAATAAAATAGTTGTACAACAAATAAATTATAAAAATAGCCCCTCCTAGTAGTATGGTTATCCAAACTAAGGCTGGAGAAACAAAGCTACCGGTGTCTGATGTTGAACTTTTACTTTGTTGTTGTTCTTCGTTTGAATGGGTTCTATCATTGCTTTGATCGTCTTTAACATTGTTGGCCCTTTGCATCTAAAATTCATATTCATAGACTTTGATAAAGTATGATATTTTGTGATGGGAGTTAAATGCTGACACCAGGTTATTTCTCAGAAGCACTGGCCATGGCATCAGAATTGTTCATTCATACTGTATGAAAGCTAAAAACTCAAGACTTGCTTATAAAACAACTTTTTCACTTTGTTAATGAACTACCACACTGATAGCATTGATTCGCACCATTCCAATGGTCTGTCTGTGACCCTGAAATTCCACTTAAAATAAGCAATTTGTGACATCATTATTGCAAAAGGTGCCAATAAAATCTGAAGGGCTTTGGAACAGTGCTGTCATAAGACAATACGCTTAGTTGTACAAGAATTGCAGGAATCACAGAAATTTTAATGAAAAATAGAAATGGTGCTAATAAATGCTATCAATCTCCACAGTACACATAAAAAGTCAAGAAAAGCCTCCTTAAATCCCTCTAATACAACATACCTGCTCTGAAATGTGTTTTTTAAGATACTTATCAAATATTTGGTGGATTTCAACATTATTGATTTCTGCTTCTTCTTCATCTAATAGACCATCTTTATTCACATCATAATATGACAGTTCTTGACTTAGCTCCTAAAAATAGATAGAAATATATATCTTTGCATTCACAGTGCATTTTTATGAAGTCAAGAGCAGTAACTCCGAAACTGTTCATCAGATCATTACCTAATTCACACTTGACCGAGATCTCATCAATAAATATATATACATACCAAGTTTCATCAACAACAGATAAAGGCTGTAGACTCTAATGTGTCTACAAGCCAAATTTGACACGTTTTTAACTTAGTTAAGGATAATAACTCCGGAACCCTTCATCTGATCATAACAAAATTACAACTTGACCGAGATATCATCATTATATACATGCATACATTTCATCAAGATCGGTAAAAAACTATAGCCTCTATTGTGTATAGAAGAAATGTAGACCTATAGGGGCGACATACAAGTATACATCACCTGGTTTTCTTGTGAAAGTCTTTTTAGATCAATATCTCGTTGTCGAGTTTCTTCATAATCTGCATTCGATAGATACACTAAAATGTTGAGAGCTATAATCCTGAAAGATTGAAAGATTAAGATTGAAATTCAATGAGAATTAAGCTTTAAATTGATCAGCCATAAAAAGAAGATGCTTGCGACTGTATGCTATTTGTAAGTAGGCCCTTGATCCAATATATTTTATAAAAAGTGACTGGCTAGCAGCTGCAACCGAATGGCTAATCAGATTTTTTCAGCTAACCAGTTTTATATTAGCTGAATTGTCTAGTAAGAAAAATTTAAATTAATGACTTGTAGCACATTTACAGCAATTTTTATCTATTATTGTGCATCTGATCTTCACAGTGTCAAACTATTACAAACTTCGTCTAATAGGCTACCTTGACTGCATTAGTCACCTTCCTTGAAGGCTATCATATTTCTTTTGCAAATGCAGCAATTTGATTGTATGCCAGCAAATACAGCCAATCTGAGTCCTTGACTGAAAGTTTATAGACATTAAGCTGACGGATATGATTGGCTGTATTCCCTTGCACACAATCCAATGAATTGCTGCTTTCCATGATACAAGAAGGTGGCTATTGCATTCAATTTCAACAAGTTATCATAGCCTCACAATGTGAACATGCTGATAACATAGCCTAAACTTACTTAGGCAACTTGTCTTTCAGAGGCCCACTTACACAACATACACACACAACATTTGGCATAGGCTACGGTATTATTTTAAGAAAAAGATAGGGTCTAGCCTACACCTAACCCCCAGTTAATATACTTTCAATAGCGTAATATCAACTCATTTAGTCCCAGCTGACAACTGTCAAAATATCCATCAGAGGTTGGATATATATAGGCAGATGTTTCTTTCTACCACTTATTGAGCTTGAGGAGACGATGTCACAGACATTGCCAAACACAAGTGAAGACCATCGATTACTTCTTCATTATCACGTCATATAAACTCAACCAAACACAAACCTTGTTATCGCCCAGCTGAACATTCTAATCAAACATCCTTTTTCCTAATTCTAACAAGTAATTTCTACAAAATTAAGTCGATTTATAAACAGGTAGCTTAAAGTAAACTACCCTTTGTTATCCAGTCCCACTTTGTCTGCGATCGAAAACCATAGAAGTCTGGTTGTCAAAGACTAAAATTAGACAGGAAGTAAACGTGGCTACTTTCACTTTTTTTTTGTCTTTCTCTCCAATTGCTGCACCCAAATAAAAACTATGACAAAACCTATGGCCCGAAAGTTCTCCGTTTCACCTATGTGTTTGCATATAAGTATCTCCCGGACTACAACTATGATTTTCAGGTTTTTGTCCATAGCCTAATATATGATGTTTTCTTTTTGTATCAGTTCAATTTTCTTTTCTTTTTTTAAGGTGGAAATGAAACATGGACAAGTGCAAGACGGGCGGCAACCATGTAGAGTGCATGGATTATAGATAGAGGGGCTCAGAGGACGAAGAGGAAGATGGCAACAGGAAGAGACAGAGGAATTGTAGACAAAGGAATTGTAGACAGGGGAACTCGGCGGAAAGTTTAAAAGGAATAAGAGACAGAGGAATTGTAGACAGGGGAACTCGGAGGAAAGTTTAAAAGGAATAAAAGATAGTGGAATTGTAGACAGGGGAACTCGGAGGAAAGTTTAAAAGGAATAAGAGACAGTGGAATTGTAAAGGGGGACTCAGAGGAAGGGTTAAAAGGAATAAGAGACAGAATTGTAGACAGGGGAACTCGGAGGAAGTTAAAAGGAATAAGAGACAGACGAATTTAGACAGGGGACTCAGAGGAAGGTTAAAAAAGGACTAAGAGACGGAGGAATTGTAGACAGGGGAACTCAGAGGAAGATTTAAGAGGAATAGGAGAGCTGTCACAAAAAGGGGTTTGGTACTAGTATAGGCAATCGGTCCATGTATGAGTTCAGGGGGCAATTTTTTTTTTTTTTTTTAGGAACGGAAATTTAAAAATATGATTTGTTTATGCCATTAGATATGTGTCTGAATGCTTCAAATCAATTCATTTTTTTTTTGCAAATTTTCTTTGAAGAACCCTTTCAGACGTTCTATGAGAGGCCGACGTCCATGACTCTCCACAGAGTTGTCGCATTGTGAAATCAGCCTAGATAGTTGTCCCCAGTCCCCCTATAGAATCTGCCTGCCAACTATTTGTACCCCCAGTTTCGGGCGCTGCCACTGGGTCCACCGGATCATGCCGTCAGTAGTGTATTTAGGGGGAGGGCTTTTGGACCATGGCCTCCCCCTCGTTCGGTAGCAATTCAAAACGATCCATCTATTTATTGACAAGGAGGTGTGGTTTGATAAGACGGTGCATGTAAAAATACAGAAGTATTGACATGACCCCAACCTGTTAATTGTTTTCTGTTTGATGTTAATAACGATATTTACAGAGTAAACAGAAAATTGGAAAGTGTCCATCGTTAGCAGTAATTCAAAGATAAAATATCGAAACAAAACGGTTCCAATTAAGATATGGATTCGAGCTGTTTGCTCAGACGGAGTTTATTTTTCAAAGTAATCTATAGAGAAGCAAAATGTTGGCTAAAAAGAATAATAAGCTTTTCGATTTTTTATGAGTTTTTATAAGATTGACATCAATACAATATTCATTTTCTTTTAAGTCTCGAGGAATATAAAACAAACTGGTATTAAGATAATATGCCTTAGGCAAGGAAACAAAATAACCAGGTATATCATAAAAACTATTCACTTTATAGTCCGACAACTCTTGGCCCTACCCAGTTCAGAAACATATGACATCCTTACGTCACGTCTAAGGAATTGGAAAGGGTCAGAGTTTTCGGGCTTTATTCTGAAAAGATTGTGTACATTTTTCCATGCATGGATACGTTGAGTATCCGATTAATCGTTTAGGACCAGTTATGACAAGTGCACTCGCCTCATGCTCTCGACATGTGTTTTGGATAACTGGTTTAAAGTACAGTGCAGTACAGTATCTCAGTAACCCAGCTGTAAATGGATACGGATAGTAATTTTGGTATAAACATCACTTTCACAAAAAAATCTGTACAAATTTCACCTTTATCAATAAATCACCACCAGTCAGTAAGCGTCAAATTTTACACATACCCAGGATTTCTTGCTTTATAAAAGTTTGACTGTTTTTTAATCACAATATCAATTTAGTATTTTTGTAGACGTATTTCGAACTGTGTGATAATGTCCGATCCGAGAGTTGACCAGTAAGCATATTTGGTATCAGCTGACTCGGTCATTCCATCAATTACTCCATTAGGGTTACAAAATGCACAGTTGTTGAACCAAAAACCTGCCCCGTATCGTACCGCACAGTTAGTTGTACTTTTATCATTGTCCACGTCGTAGGTCGTAAACAGTTGTCCCCTTGAAGGATTCAAGGAATCGCCGAGATCGTTGTATCCGTCTGCTAATAGGTGGAAATTGTAATCCATTTTATAGTTCTCTTCAACACTAAAACCAATGTATACTCTTACATAATATTCTGGACTGGACATAGCTTTTGCGTAGAAGTGTGCAGCTTGTAAACGACCAAACGTTATATTATGCATTTTGTCCAAACCTAACCAATGCGATCCAGTGAGCGTACCAAATCCTTCGACGTATTCTTGCCACGTTCGGTTGAAGTTGGCGATGTCGTTGATGGTATTTGATTGTATCACCGTATACCCACCATTTTCCATAATACATCGGACTTGAAATGGTGCATAAGCTATAGTTGGCCGGATGACAAACACGCCGTCAATCCCGTTGTAAAATCCGGACTCGAATCCTTCCGAACAGTCTGAAAGATATAGGAAATAATACGAAACCAAATGGTGTTCAATCAGAGATTAGCTATCACTATGCAACATAATTCAGGTTACGTAAATTGCCTGGAATTGTGGAATGGTGAAAATGTTGCTAGGATAGCCACATAAGACTATTTTGCAGGGATTAAACCCTGGGCCCATGCAAGTTTAGCAAGCACGTGCTTCATTCGCTGAATCACCAAGGGTCTCGTGAAATACCATATTAACTGTAAGTGACAATGTCGGCGTCAGCCGCTTGAAGTTGATGATGTAGTTGATGGTATTTGATGGTACCATCGTATACCCACTATTTTCCATAGTACATCGGACTTGAACTGTTACATGGCGGGACAACTTTACTGAACCCACCCCGCCCTCTCACCTTTCGTTCTTTCACTGGCCCCGCGGCTGGTGAGTTGCTATAGAATGATCATCATTTATAACGATTTCAGAACAGGAGTGTTATAGTAGAATTTATTGATAATACCTACCTTGCATGACTTTATCACAGAATTGTCCGACAAATCCCCGAACACATTCACAATGCGTTTCATTACGTTGTATTGCTCCGTTTTCACAAGGACCATCAATTGCTTCAACCGTGTTCATATTGCCCACCTTCAAAAATAATGATATATAATTAAAGTCATTGTGAAATAGCTATCTAAATTGTATCTAAATGTATACAGTTTCTACTACTCATCGAAATGAGCTGTTCCACTAAAAGTAAGCTTTTTATTACCTATATATATCTAGCGCTATGGCCATAGGATATTATTAGCGGCTTTTGGAACATCAAATGCGATAAGGCATTTCTATAATTACAGGTTTCGGAACCACATTCGTCTGACTGAAAATTGCAATGGTGCAAATTGATAATTTCAGTGCAGCTATCTTTTGGGTTCATTAAAGATAAGGTATATAGCATACTTACCTTTTTAAAATGCAGTACAAAGGGCATTGTTACTGGCGGTGAATCCTGGTCGTAATCGTCAGGTGATGTATCGTACAGGTGACAAGTCCGGTCCGGACTAGAGAAGGCTGCCGTTAGACACTTTCCAAACTGATTACACATGGCATAGCACGAGAGCCTACTTCGAGTTACCCCCATCCAATAGGCTTTAATAGTTTCTCCAACTTTATTCTTTGAGTACCTTGGACATTGCACAAACTGTGTTGACTGTAAGGAACCGAACTGTGCTGCGACAGTTATCAGGTACCAAAAGATATTTTGCCTTGGAACCATGTTTCTGCTTTAACCCTTTCTAAAGAAGTCTTCTAAACTTTTTATATGTATCTGAAACACTGATAGCATCCATTTTCACCATTTCAATTTTCAGTCTGGCGTCTGTGGCTTGTTCAATTCCATTAAAACTAAGTGTTGGGTAAAATCTACTTATACAATACCAGACCCTTTCCGAAAGTGAGGTCATAACATTTTTAGTTATAATGGCAATGCAGGAACACAGACGCAAGTTGAGAATTCGAATGGTGAAAATTATTGCTACTTATACAGTTATAGATTTTAGAAAACCTTTTTACAATCCCCTGAATACCAGATAGTTCGTATTTTCTAACTGAAAGTCTACTAATTACAAAAGTAATTAAGAAAGTTTCTTATATACTAGACATTGCATCGTGTTGAATCATTGAACCAGCCCACTTGGTTTTCGTGCAATAAATATTAATCAAGAAGACAAGTAACAAATCTATAATCATATCAAAATATCTCATTAAAGTTGCCGAAAGGTTAGTGTTTTCCTAACACGCAATACATTTTCGTAGGACAATGCAAAAAGATAATCGAAATTCAGAAATCAATTTTGACCGAAAATAGACAATTGTAATGTACCATAACATTGCACGACTTCAGTAAAAAGAAGAAAAAATAAATTATTAATCTTGATGATCTTAAACTTGTAAATTTTTTTTACATTCTTAGAAAGTACACACATTCCTTTCTTTTGATTATACTATTCTTCATATACTGCGTTCGTTTTTCTTCTCGTTAGTTTTCAATCGCCCATTAGTTTTGAAATACATTAGTTTAAAATTATCATTATTCGTTAAATGAAACTGCTTTAAAATTTCCCATTAGTTTTAATATACCAATTAGGTTTGATCTGGCTATAATCTTGAAATACCCATTATTTTTATATTAATCTACATATAACTTTAAATGCCCAATATTTTTAAAATACCCATTAGTTTTAAACTGCCCATTAGCCGCCAATTACCCATTAAATTTTTAACTGCCCATTAGATTTTCAACTGCCCTTTATAAGATTTAAACTGCTCTTTAGTTGAAAATGTCCATTACTTTTAAACTGTCCATTAGTCTTAGTAAAAACGCATCAAAATTTGTTAACTTGTGAATGCTATAGAGGTGATAGTTTGTCAGATTTTTTTTTATTGTGTGTGTTTGTTCAAATGAACATTATCTTGTACAGATTAGGTTTTTGGTACATTTGATATACTGAAAATGTATCAGGGAAGTGGGCGTATCTTGCTAGGCAACCACTTGTTGGTCTTGAGACTATTATTTCATTATTTAAAATACCATTTGGCTGAAAAGTGGTGTCCTGGTTCACTGTTCTTCAGGTCGGTTGTATCGCACATATAAACATAATATGTGTTATCCAATATTGATCACCGATGTGTATATTATGTTGTTGGCCTGGAAGCCAAAAACTTACTATATGTATCAATATATCTAGCAGTTATTGATATCCGAACTGTCGATAAAATGGTATCACCCTTGGTCAGTGACCAGCCAGAGATCATCCACCCTCGGGTACAAAAAACTCAGTGGTCAATTATTCTTGTTGAACCTGTTTCGGTTTAGGTCTCGTCGATGCATTTTCATCTTTAAAAAAAGGTTTTCAATTGCAAAATTTATCTGTAGAACAGGTAAACGCAATTTAAGATAAATAGACCTATAAACAATCGTCAACAGTAGTTTTAAATTTCGTCAGTCAAAAAGCTCTAAAAAAGCGTCTATAGTCGTTCGGAATAAACAAGAACAAGTGAAGTTTGGAATTCGAGTACGGGCAGGCTAATGCCACCGGGTGCTAATGCAGCTGTTTTGGAAAATTTTACCTCATTGCAAATTGCATAGCTTTGCCCTTTATGCACTATCATTAACACAGAAAAGAAAGAAGTAACTCTATTTATATCAATTTTCATTTCAATTATCAATACATCTATGGGTGCACCATTCTTCCCCAAACATAATTATCTCCCTTTAGTGCGTCAAGGGAGATAAGTCTAATGTCTGACTTAGTGGCGACAGGAAATAAATCTGAGAAACTTATAAAGTTCCTTTAATTCCTATTTATTGTTTCGTTTATTGCCTTAATGCTTAAATATTTTGTTGCTTTTGAAATCCAAGTGCTAAGTATTCGAATTTAAAGTCTGTTCTGTCATCGTGTTAGTTTAGTTTTTGTGAAACTGAACTGACTGACGTCAACTGGACTGCTTTAAAATGGATAAGAGAGAGCCCAAATATAGTAAGATAATTTACCAATTTAACTATGATATTTGTAGAGATAGAATAGACCCCATTTACTTGAGTAGGCTCGGAATTGCATTTTATGTCACTTTTCAAATGTGCAAATAAAGATGTTCAATTAGCCTACTTGACTTGCTATTTGTGTCCGCCATGCCATACACATAAAAAGTCCTCTTTACATTTACAATCCCTTGTAATTTTATTTCAGATTTTGGTTTACTAGAAACACCACATTCATCTGAGTCCTCATTCACATCTCCTCATAGTGTTTCAAGTTCAGAAAATCCTCAGCCAAAACCTTCAAATTCATGTTCAAGGTAAAGTAACTATAAAATAAAATAGGTGGGAAAAGAAAGATACAAGAAGACAAATCATGACATGCATGACACAATGACAAGGGATAGAAATGCTTATTTAAATCACCAGATTTTTGTACCAGCTCTGTATAACCATCTGATAGGACTTGAACTATTCCATTGGTAAATCATAAAAAAGCAATAAAAGTTTAGATGTGTCTAATAATTTTTATTTCAGTTACTTCCATTCAATGGCTGGCTCATCTTCCAGTTCATCTAATGATAAAGTTAAAAATAGAACTCCTGTTTTGACATCAGATTCCTCCAGGTCTAGAGCTACACCTAGAATTACACCAGGATCTAGAGCTACACCAGGATCCAGAGCAACACCTGGATCCAGAGCTACACGTAGGATAACACCTGATGCTAGAATAACACCTGGTTCCAGAGTTACTACTGGTATAAGTAGTGCTACTTCTACTACCACACCGCAAGCTTTAAACAGTACAGTTATAGTAGGTAAGGTGTTGTTAGATTGTACCTTGCATTTATTGTAGTGTTTCTATGAGATACGTTCCATGGCAGTTAACATTAACATTCACTGAAATATGCTAAAGTACCAAGGTCTTTCATGAACTTGGTTGCTCATCATTCTTATATTTTTAAGCATTTCAAAGTCATGCAATTTAGCAGCTGCTTTACCGACCTTTACATAAAAACAAATAGTGTGTCCATGGGGGCCATTATTCCTTATTCTGCATACAATTTATTCCTTACCTTGAGGAGGATTTGAACCCAAAACACCTATACCAACTCACTATCTGGTGAATTTTGTTGAGAGTAGTTCGCAAAGTAGCCAAAGGTATCTTGGTAAGTGTATGGTAAGATAAGAATATGCTGACCTTTATTGACATGTATATTCAGGTATCTATCTATGATTCCAGCTATAGTAGAAGGTCGAGGTATAGCTAGAGGTGAAATTGGTATGACCAGTTTAGATTTAAAATCACCAACACTAGTTCTGTCTCAGTTCTCAGATTCACAGACCTATGTTAAAACATTGACTAAATTGCAGACTTTAGTCCCCCTGGAGGTGAGTAATGGATACAGTCAAAGCTCTGACTTTTCTGCACTCTGGAAAAGCCCTGCAGTGAGCAATACAGTAAATTTTCTGACAGGATTTTGATAAAACATAATAGATTTAAAAATATTTATCATGGTCATTAGTTAATTCTGTGGCAGGGCTTTTGATCTGACAATATTTATCGGACATATCTATTTTTCTATGTTAAATGTCCAATTGAAAATATATTTCATCATCCTGTGGTCAATGATGTTCTGAAATAATGCTTGTATTGGTTATTATTTGTAGATAATTGTACCTAATACATCATTTGAGAATGATAAAAAGACAACGTTATTAAAACTAATATCAGACCAATATTCAGCCACCTGTATATCAGCTGTACAGAGAAAATACTTTAATGAGGCTAAAGGTGATTACTAGTGGTTTTCAAATTATAAGGGAGATACAGTGGCTCAGTTTGTCGGAGCATTAGAGACATTACATGACATTATTTTCTTCAAACAAATGGTGGTTGTGGGTTCTAATCTCATTCGGCATAGGAAAGTCTGGTGACCTTGAATTAGTCCTCTGTCATTGTTTTTCCAGTCGACCCAGATGTTAATGGGTACATATAATCTGAGAGAGATCACAAGTAGTGCCAATTGATGTTCCAGTGTCCCTGGCAAAAATAAACTAGAAAACCTTTTTTAATGAGCCACACTGATGGTATGGTTCAGCAAGCATGCCTTGTCTTCACGTATATACACCATTCCAATCCTAAATTTGTTTTCACTTTTTGAAAAAAAAAATGTTTTGTTACGAAATAAGTTTATATTTAATTTGATATATATCCTAGGGTTGCAGATGTTAAAACATTTATGTAAAGAATTCCATACAATGGAAATGGTGCTGTCTTCAAAGTAAGAATTCTTTCCAACATATTTTGATATTTCAATTTGCTGCCCCATACAGTGAAAAAAATAATATTTATAAAAAATCATACTGTTTTCAACAAACAAGATTATCAACATTGTGTTCATTAGACCCCCCTGCCGTTTAAATGTCTAGTTAAATTTATTTTAGATATTACTGTCTAGCCACCACAGCTGCTATATTAAAATATATAGAATTTATACAGAATATTGAATACGCTCCCAACTCTCTACAGTTGGTATTTAAAGGCAGTGAAAATTCCACAATGATAGGTAAGTTATATAGTGTAGTCGGTTAATACAATCTTAAAAACCAGAAAACTTCTCTATGGTTGATGGTTATTGTTCTGTTGAGGTCAGATATCCAACATGTTTCACCAGAACTGGGGTCACGTAATGTGTCGTTGGGGACTACTTTCTGAGGATGGCTTTGATTCAAAGATAAAACATTTATATACAGTAGAAACTGTATTAAGAGACCCATCAAGAGAATAATCAAAATGGTCTCTTAATGGAAGTCGTCTCTTAGAAGAGTTTTGGATTAGAATAGCCAACAGATCTATTTTGTTTTGGTAGCCATTTTATATCTTTAAATTGATATAATTAATTAAAATTTGAATTAATCTTTTGAGCAAATTTCCAATAAACTATAACCCCTTTTAATCTCAAATTGTATGTGACACCATCTGATGTTTATACAAGGGAGATAATGATAACTGTAATGGTTGCTTAATTGATTCGTTTTGCTTACATGGTAGTGTAAATACATGGTTGCTGGACGCTCAATAAACAGTTGTAGGGTGGACTTAATTGTGATTGCATATTAAAGGTAGTTTTTGTGTAAAGGTGGTTCCTTGAGCAGGATTCATTGTATAATGAAATTGTGACCACCTTCTTTATTAAGGCTCCCAAGGAAGATAACTTTTAACACAGACCACAATATTACAATATGTTGGATTATGATATGGAACATTAAAAAAAGACCATGTTATAATAAAGATGTTCATATAAATGATGTATATTATACATTTTTTAGACATGGCTACTTCAAGAAATTTGGAATTACTTCAAAATCTAAGATATCCTAAGAGTCATCACACTTTATTTGGAACGCTTAATTTCACCAAGACTCCTGGTGGTACTCGGCTATTGAGATCTAATATACTTCAACCACCGTCAGGTAAAACTCATATATCGTATTTTACATATTATATATATAATATTTTAGATGTTGAAACTATAAAAACAGAGTAGTGCTACATATTATTCTATTATATTAGATGTTGAATCTATAAAACTGCTACGTATTATTCTATTATTTTAGATGTTGAATCTATAAAACTGCTACGTATTATTCTATTATTTTAGATGTTGAAACTATAAAACTGTTACATATTATTCTATTATTTTAGATGTTGAAACTATAAAACTGTTACATATTATTCTATTATTTTAGATGTTGAATCTATAAAAACAGAGTAGTGCTACATATTATTCTATTATATTAGATGTTGAATCTATAAAACTGTTACATATTATTCTATTATTTTAGATGTTGAATCTATAAAACTGTTACATATTATTCTATTATTTTAGATGTTGAATCTATAAAACTGTTACATATTATTCTATCATTTTAGATGTTGAATCTATAAAACTGCTACGTGTTATTCTATTATTTTAGATGTTGAAACTATAAGACTAGCTACATATTATTCTATTATTTTAGATGTTGAATCTATAAAACTGCTACATATTATTCTATTATTTTAGATGTTGAATCTATAAAACTGCTACGTATTATTCTATTATTTTAGATGTTGAATCTATAAAACTGCTACATATTATTCTATTATTTTAGATGTTGAAACTATAAGACTAGCTACATATTATTCTATTATATTAGATGTTGAATCTATAAAACTGCTACATATTATTCTATTATTTTAGATGTTGAAACTATAAGACTAGCTACATATTATTCTATCATTTTAGATGTTGAAACTATAAAACTGTTACATATTATTCTATTATTTTAGATGTTGAATCTATAAAACTGCTAAGTATTATTCTATTATTTTAGATGTTGAAACTATAAAACTGTTACATATTATTCTATCATTTTAGATGTTGAAACTATAAAACTGTTACATATTATTCTATTATTTTAGATGTTGAATCTATAAAACTGCTACGTATTATTCTATTAATTTAGATGTTGAAACTATAAGACTAGCTACATATTATTCTATTATTTTAGATGTTGAATCTATGAAACTGCTACATATTATTCTGTTATTTTAGATGTTGAAACTATAAGACTGCGACAAGATGTCATCTCTGAATTGGTAGAAAAAGAAGACATATTTTATAATCTACAGACAACTTTAAGTAAATTTCTAGACATTGAACATCTAATATCAGCTTGTGTCATGATTCCAAAACAAGACTCGTTAAAAGTTGCTGAAAGCAAAATTACCACTGTCATTCTATTGAAACACACTCTAGATCTGGTGCCAGGTTTTGTGGGATTTCTGAAAGACTGTGAGAATGATCTGATCAAAGCCTACTGTCAGGTAAGAAAAAAAGAAATAATATCATCTTACAGCATTATTCCACCTGACCTATTTGTAAATGGGGTCCTGTTATTTAAGTCCTTTTGGTATTGATATTAAAGTTGATTATTGATCATTGGACTCTTTCAGACTTTACAAGATGGTCGATATGAAGAAATGAGAAATAAAATCTCTATAGTAATACATGATGATACTAAATATCAAAAAGGGGCTTTAAATATGAGAACACAGAAATGTTTTGCAGTTAAAGTAAGTTGGCTGACACTGAGATTATTTCTGACTGATGATCATCTCTGGGTACTCGGACCAATGCCTTACCCGTTTGGGACTATGGATTACTTTATTAAAATAGATTCAATTAATTTGACCATTTAATATTAGAGGGGTTGACATATCATATATTAAGCACAAATTTCATGCATGTGGTCTCATTTCAAATTAACTATCTACTACTTTGAAATTTTGTTCTCTTCTTTTGTTTCAGCCTCATATCAATGGCAAGTATTGGTTAATCTTATAAATCCACCTTCACTTCAAATTATCTTAAGTTATTTATCAACAATGAAATTTAAATTTATAATATTTTGAGTAAATTGCTATCTTTATCAAAATGAATAAATGATAGTGTTTGTTTAAAAATGCTATCCCAAATCAAATGATGTTGTATTATATAAATATTCTCTTAAATCAAATGATAATGTTGTACAAAGAAGAAGCTATGGTAAATCAAGTCAAAATGTTATTAAAAATGATTCAAATGATGATGTTGTTTGAAAATGCTATCCTAAATCATATGATGTTGTATATAAATGCTATCTTCAATCAAATGTTACTACAGTAAATCTATTGATAATGTTAAAATACTAGCCAATTTGAATGTATTGTACACAAATGCTATTTAAAATTCAAGTGATAATGTGAGAAAAATGTCCTGTTTTCATTTGGTTTTATGTTTATTAAACTATAGGATTATTGGATGTTGCTAGAAGAACTTATTCTGAAATCATCAATGATATATCAGGTAAACTGTTTACTTTTACCACATGTACAAAATATGTCAGAAACTCACTGCATTCATTGTTTCCATTAGCACAATCAGCTGCATAAAAACTTTTATTTCAAAATTTTTTACACCACTTTGATTTGTAGAAATGATCAACCAACTTGGTCAAGAATGTAACCTACCATTAAAGCTAGCTTACTCTACAACTAGAGGTTTTTATATACAGTTATTCTGTGGACAGAAAGACAACAGATCAGCAGAGTCCTTACCAGGCCATTTCATCAAAGTTTCCAAATTTAAAAATACTTTCAGTTTCACCACTACTGATTTGGTAAGTGTTTGTTTAAGGTAAGTGGAACCACAGACATTTGATTGAAAATTGCATAGGTGCATTGGAAAGGAGAAAATCAAAGCTATCAGTATTCCTGATACACGTAAAACCTCTTTATAATCCCTCATTTTGATTTTGAATTTCTGCTACTTTAGGTAATTTTTCTCCCTTCTTCTTCAGATAAAACTCAATGGTAATTTAACTTGTTTAACTATATTTGATCACCTTCTGTTCTATTCAGTATTCTGTTCTATATTCAGTATTCTGTTCTATATTCAGTATTCTGTTCTATATTCAGTTCTATTCAGCATTCTGTTCTATATTGAGTTCTGTTCAGTATTCTTCTGTTCAATATTCTGTTCTATATTCAGTATTCTGTTCAGTATTCAGTTTTGTTCAGTATTCTTCTGTTCAATATTCTGTTCTATAATCAGTATTCTGTTCAGTATTCAGTTCTGTTCAGTATACTGTTCAATATTCAGTTCTGTTCAGTATTCTGTTCAATATTCAGTTCTGTTCAGTATTCTGTTCTGTTCAATACTCAGATCTTTGCCATATGAAACAATTAGTAAGCATAAGTGCAAAGATGAGACACAATACAATATGCCAGTCAACCTATAGTTTATTAAAATATATCTGATTGTAGATCGTGTAAAAGAATCATTACAAGAAATATATCTCATGACAAATGTGTAAGTGTACAGTTTTTTATATTAAATGGATTAAAAAGTAAAAAGTGGAATTGTAAGACATCAGACTGAATATTGGAATGGCGCAAATCAATTTTATCAGTTTTCCCTCTTTACAATCTCTTCAAAATTTTAATTAATTATCTGTTAGGACATCCAAAATATTTTTTTAGATACTTTAGGAAATAAAAATGATATTTTAATATTTTAGGGTTGTAACAGAGTTAATGAATGAAATAAGAGAACAAATTGGATGTTTATATAAACTATCAGAAGCTGTCTCTATGATAGATATGTTGGTATCTTTCACTCATGCTTGTACACTCTCATCTTATGGTAAGATTTGCTGTTCACCTTTCAATTTCCAATTCCCTTAAAGAAACTATAGTCAGACTGCTTTTAAACAGGTGCTGATTTGATCACCATCATCATGTGTGTTGATGTGTGTGCCTTTTGAGTAGTGATACAGGCTGCAATAGACCAGAAACTGCACACTGTTACGCTCTGAATATATACTGATTATTATATATGATGTCTATTTCAGTGCGTCCAGTTTTAACAGATACACTAGCTATAAAACAAGGTAGACATCCAATATTGGAGAAAATAGGAGTTAATGCCCCTGTTCCTAATAATGCCGTAAGTAATAACATAAATTTTATTTTACCAACAATAAGTTACTAGACGATAAAAAATGACAAGTTTATGCTTTTTTCACTTTCAAAATCGTGTTAAATGTATTTCCATCTTCTTCCGCATATCTTTAGGTTTATATTCAATTCTTTCCTGAATTCATGAGATTTCTATATTTACAGTATGCTGCAGAAGACAATAATTTTATCATCATAACTGGTCCAAATATGGTAAGTAGAATAGACAAAATGTTTTAAAAGATGTGGAACAATTTTCAAAATGAATGATTACTTATTGCAGTTACATATAAAACTATTATAAGGTATTTTCTAAACTTTTTGTATGTATCATTGGACACTGATTGCATCAATTTGCACATTTCCAATTTTCAGTCAGGCTTTTGTGTCAATTACACTAAAACTAATCATACTACTTTACTTAAACAAGGCTATCACTTTCAGCTTTAAGTGACTTAAGCATTTCGATGATTACCTCAGAGATCTAGGTTAGATGATCTCACTGAAAATTTGAATGGTGCAAATGGATGAAATCAGTGTTCCTGATATTCCTAAAACTTGTAGAAAACCTCTTTACAATCTCTGTTAGTAAGCAGAGAATTCTATTGCTTCCAGAACTTTATTCCGATCGCTGTTTGACTTAGTTGGCTCATCTTCCCTTTTCAGACAGTCCACATAACTAAGAATAATATGATTATGATAATTGATTGTAATTATAGAGTGGTAAATCAACATATTTAAGACAAGTTGTGTTGTTACAAATCATGGCTCAGATGGGATCTTTTGTACCTGCTCAATATGCCTCATTCCGTGTTGCTGACCAGATTTTCTCTAGAATTGGTAGTGATGATGATATTGAAACTAATTCCTCTACATTTATGGTAGAGGTAAAGAATTTATATGTTATGTCATCTTCACAATGTCAAGCTATTAAGAACTTTGATTTTATGCCTTGCCACAATAGTTGTCTTTCTTGTATCATGGAAGTTTGTATCAATGAAGCGATTTGATTGGATTGTTTGCTAGGGAATAAAGCCAATGAGAGACTTTGACAGAAAGTCTGTGAACGCAAAGCCATAAAGTTAACAGCCTTTATGACGAGGGCTGTGATTGACTGTATTCGCTGGCATATTATCCAATCAAATCACTGTATTCCCTGATACAAGAATGCATTATTCACTGTTGCAGTCAAGTTATAAGTACGAAATTTCGTAATAGCTTGACATTGTGAAGATGTATTTATGGTGACAAATATTTTTCCAGATTAACTCAAGTAAGAAAGGGTGTTGAACACCCGGTGTTCACTGCATTTGCATGCCTGTGCCACCTGTTCATCATTGGTGAATGTTAAATACAAAACAAATATGTCAGTAAGACAGATATTAACACAAACTATATATATTTTAGATGAAAGAAATCAACTATATTATACAGAATGCTACAGATAAATCCTTGATTATCATAGATGAACTTGGTAGAGGTAAGAGTTTGTATGTCTTATAGTTTGTCTTTTTTGATCATGACTTTTGATGTAAATATGAATTGTCCCACATTGGTAGAAGATTTCTGATTGATCTCAAGGTGTTTACAAAGAGTAAAGAGGTTACAACCCTAGCAAAGTTTATGATGAATGTTTTGTAATTTGTAGGTACCAGTGCTGATGAAGGTGTTGGTATCTGTCATGCTATATCAGAACATTTATTAAGTTGTAAGGTATTTCTTTTTCATTTTAAATCCACCCAAGCCCACTTTTTGCCTTGGGTTGTGCTATGGCATTGGTTCTCATATTGACATATAATTATATCAAACTTTCTAGCACCCCACATTGTCAAGCTAATTAAAAACTTTGTACTTATACCTTGATTGCAATAGCTACCCTCATATGTCATGGAATGCAGTGATTTGATTGAATTGCACACTAGATAATACAGGCGATCAGAGACCCCGACCGAAAGTCAAGCCTCAATATCATGGCCGCCTTCTGTGATAAGAATAATGGCTATTGCAGTCAAGGTATAAGAGGGAAGTTTGTAAAAGCTTGCTTTTTTGGAAATGCTTGTAAATATGAGCAATTGTATTTGAGATTTCAAAACATTTTTGGCATTATTTACAGGCGTTCACTTTGTTCGTTACACATTTTATGGACCTGACCCACTTAGCCTCGTTATATCCCAATGTAGAGAAGTAAGTTTATTTAATAATTATTATCTATTTTGTAAGTTTATGGTCATGAGATCATTTTATCATTAGATCGCTGTTTAAAATACGCTCAATTAACAATAGATTGATGGGACTGTGGTTAACTTAATCCAAATAGCTTTGTGAATTTGGTGAATTTTAACCATTCAAAACAACCCTTTTTCATCGAAGAGGAGACGCCAGTGCTCATATAATATTCATTAATTTCTTGTGTGTTCATACAAACAAACAAACTGTATGTAGGAGCATGTTGATTAGCCAGTTGAAAATTATGTGACTTTTTGAACATTGTAACTCCCTTCTAATATACAAAACAAATTTTTCAGTTATTTTTTTGAAGTGCAGAGAACATTCAGTGTAGAAGGCAACTGTGAAACGATGACTTTCACCCATAATCTATCTAGAGGACAAACTAAAGAAAAACACTATGGTAGGAAAGATTTACAATAGCTTAAATAGGGAGCCGTAGTGGCTCAGTGAGTTAAATGCACTTACTTGAAGGTCCACAGTTCACCCCCGGCATGGGTAGAGATAATACCTTTAGATTATTTATTTCCAATGAAACAAAGGCCCTTCAATGTTATTATCTGCTTTTGCAACAGTGATGTCATAAAAGTGTAAGTTTTAGTAAAATTGCAAGAACAACAGATGTCTGACTAAAAATTAGAATGCTAGAAATCATTGCTATAAGAGTCCCTGATTTACATAATATATTGATAAAACCTCTTAAATAATCTCTGTAATAAATATATACTATACTAGGGTTAAAATTAGCAGAGTTATCTACCATGCCGAGAAGAGTAATAGATGAAGCCAATGAAATCTCTAAAATTCTTGAGAAGAAAGATCAAGTAGGTGACCATTGCAACAATTCAAAAATTAAAAATAAATTCATTATAAAATGCCAAAGAAGGCATTTCCATCCTCATGTGAGTGGATAACACTATAGGTTATATTAGTTGGAGTTCAGTGTTTATCCACCTTGGAGCACTTTACAGGCCTGGTCAAGGGCTATGATTGGCTGTATTTGCCAGAATACAATCCAATCAAATGGCTGCATTTACAAACTTCTATGATACAAGTAAAGTGCCAAATGGTGTCAAGGTATTAAATGCAGGTCAGAAAAGCATGACATGGTGAAGATGCTAGTTAGTATCTTTATTTTTCTTTTCCAGAAGAACTTAGAAAATAAAGAAGCTCTGTATGAAAAGGCTGTGTTTAAACTAGGTATGCGTTTGGTACAAACTGCCAATAATTCCAGTTTGGACCCTCAGAGTTTACGAGCATTTCTGAAAATGTTGAAGGTGAATTTTGAGAAAGAGGTAGGATCAGACACTACTTCCACCACTGAAGAATAGAATTACTGGTAACAATGTGTTGAGTTTGTTGATCATGGTCAAATTTTTCCAATTTGTCAAATAGAAATGGTGTGTCATTTGGCAATATAGACTTGACATATGGTAATATAGGCTTGACATAATGAAACATAGTCTTGACATAGGGTCATATAGACTTGATATATGGTATCATAGACTTGACATGATGAAACTTAGACTTGACATTTTGCAGTATATACTAGTAACAAATGCTTGATATATAATGAAACAGACTTGACATAATTGAAACAAAAAAGATAATTTCGTTGTTGATTTCATTGTAAACATAAAATATGTTATTGTAAAATTATTGAAAATATATGTATCAATTTTTATTGTTTCATTAAAGAAAAAAAAAATTCTTGGCAATCATTTCAGAACAGATCTTGGTGTTGTAGCCCATGATTTCAGAAAATAACCTGTATCTAATATCTAGTAAATACAATACATGGATGGTGAATAGATTTTGCATGGGAAATAGCAATGATACTAGCTTGCCATTCACAAAATGGCTTGAAATTAATTTTTGAATCAATTCGACAATAGTCGGAGGTTTACATAAAGATACGGATTACGGAAACTGTTGATAATTTCCGATTGGCAGAGAGGTGGCGAAACTTGGATGTTCAGCTATTTGTTTTGGATCCATATAAAACTGCTTCAGAAGCTTTAAGATCTGATTAGTACAGAATTGTTAAATACGATAATCTAAGACGCAGATGATCTTATGGTTCTATTGGGCGTAGACAGTCTTTCCACAATTTCATCGGTGTTTCTACTCCGTGGTAAACCACTTAGCAATGGCAATGCCATCGACTTCGTAATTTCTATTTCTGACTCCACACGGGGTAACGATTTGCTACAGCGGATAGTTCCATTGGCGCGGGAGATAGTCGTTCTGTTTACACGGTCCACTAATTGGTCAATTTCGTCTGGAGGGGCGCTGGAAATGTAAACGTATTCATTGTCGTATTTATTATAGTTTTCTCCAGCGTATTTATAACGATCGAATGATTTACAAGAACTGGCAGTTGTCGGTCGACACAAGTCCTTTAAGGACTTTTCGCGGTCCTCGGCAGTTTTTGGGCGGATGGGGATGTCATCAGTTGTCAGAGCACCACTGAAGGCGAAGTCATTGATATTGAAATTTATATCGTTCACCCGAGAACTGATAGTTGGTTTCCTCAAACGTCGGATCATTCGATTTAAGTCCTTCTCAGTCAATTTGCGGGAACCTTTCTTACGTTCCACACCGGAAGCTGACGCGGACCGTCTGACACGAGCAGATGGTGTTCCGATTAGGCGAGAATTGTCTTGTGATTTTATCTGACGTGATAATCTTTCAGTGATATCATCAAGATCTTTCTTTTCAACTTTTCTGAATCCATAAACTTTGGCAACTTTCTTAGTCTCTTGTACTTTGCTGTAGTAAAAACTCATGGTGGTCTTTCTAAAATTATAAAATATTCCCCTTGAAATTTGGTATATTAAATCGATTACCTTCACCGGCTGCTGGCTTCTCTCCGGTTTCACGTTTAGATTTCGAACTAGTCTTTCATCCACTTCGGAGCTGGAATCATGCTGCTAGTTAAGGAAACCAAAGAACAGTGGTGAAGGTTGTGCATCACGTAATGATAGTTGCCTGCCAAGGCCTCTTAAAGGTCCTCAGGCTAGGCTCAAAACTAAGGTTTCAAAGCGCTCCACCTATCACCCAAACTAATTTTATTACCGATTTATATTCTAGGCCTAATATTCTTCAAAAGTTTGAAGAGACATGAAAAAATGTAGTCGGAGTTATAGGGTCTCTGTGGCCTGGGTGGATTGGACTCATCAGACTAGATTTAGGAAATTACAATGGTTTTTATTCCCCCAAAAAAACACAAAATTCTCAAATCTGAGGCTATACAAACCGCATTCGGTGATTTACATATATTTATCTTATTCAATTTGAAAAATATATAGTATACTTAAACTTACCTAGTAAAAGGCGAGTACAGAAACGTAGAAACCTTCTAAACAGCGAGATCACACCTAAACCCTTTGACATGGAAATACATTACGACCTCGAACAATACGCACTTGTTTGTGTTAATCCCTACTTGTACGGTAGAAACGTGTCTTGACAATGGAGATCAATAAAAGAACAACTTATTCAATAATGTATTTTGTTTGATTAGTCTATTTGTGATCGATCCGGATCAATTTTAGCCTCGGTCATCAGGTCGTGGATTATAATCCTATTCCAGAATTGAAATCCTATGTTTTGATTGGCTAGTTGTTGAATAACAGCCAATAGCGTTATGGTATTTTCATGTCTCCCAGATATACAAATCTTATTTCGTGTGATCCAGATTATCTTAATGGGATGTCTGGGTCTATAGAGAGTCCACCTTCATAGGGGGATCACATCAGATTGAAAATTACAATGCGTTGCGATGCAAAAGGTCTACCGTGAAAGTTCCGCTTGCCCACTGCAACTCACGGATGTTCGTGGGTTGTCGAATGGTTTGTCAGCGTGAAATTTTTATTTGTATGTTTTTACCTTTTCACCATTTCACGTTGTCAAGGACGAATAAAGTATAAATACGATTGTTTTTTATAACTGTTTATCTGTTTCGAACTCGATGACACGGCCTTATTGGATGATCATTACAATCACAAATAGTGATATAAAACTGTTAAAGAAGTTTGCCCACATAAGACTTTATTGTAACCCGACTACTCTGACGATAGGGCAGTTATCAAATGTCGTTTTATACTGGAGATCATCCCGATCCTTTATGAGAAATTTGTCAAAAATTTTGGTATCTTTACAATGCTGCACCATTATTGGGTTTATCAAGAAATTATCAGATATTCTACAATGTCTCTGTGCCCCAAACGCTATCATAAAGCAGTCAAGGCATATACTTTCCAAGATCGTGCATGTTACAGTATCGATAATCAATAATACCGGCCCCTTGAGAGAATTGATATTACGCTGGGGTAAGTCTACTAGAGCGAATCAACGACTGAAAAAAAAAAAACGGAATTGCCATCAGTTGCTCATATTCTAGCAATTGAATCTTGTGGACATGGGAGCTGGGAATCTCTGACCATTCAGTTGATAGCAGGTGCAAGTGTTCATTCTTTTCATTTCATTTCCAAAGCTCTAACCGACTATGTTACCTTTCCTCAAATAACCAAATAACAAATGCAAATTGTTACATATGCAGTAAATAAAGCAGAATTTGTAGTCAAAAGGTTTCGTAAACATTTACTTAAAGTTTCAATACAAATATAGAGGTCCTGGATGCGGCTGCTGAACCACTGGAATCGGTTTGATCGGTTGAATCACAGGAATTGGCTCTAGCGACTGAACCACTGGAATCGGTTGTATTGGCTGAACCACTGACATTGGTTGTATTTGCTGAACCACGGGCATTGCTTGTATTGGCTGAACCACAGGCATCGACTGTATTGGCTGAACCACAGGCATCGGCTGTATTGGCTGAACCACGGGCATCGGCTGTATTGGTTGGACTACAGACAATGATTGATCTTTCGGCTGAACCACTGGAATTGACTGCATTGGTTTAACCACAGTAAAATGTTGTTCTTTAGGCTGAACCATTGGAATTAGCTGCATTGGTTGAACCACTGGTATATTTTGTTCTTTTGGTTGAACCACTGGAATTAGCTGCATCGGTTGAACCTCTGTAATATTTTGATCTTTTGGCTGGCCCAATGAAGTTGACTGTCCTGGCGATGGTTCTGGTGGTAGAAATTGCTGAAAACCTATTAGTGGTAGAGGTTTCTGAGGCATTTGTATTAACCCCTGAACTGGTTGTTGTCCTACAATGCTTTGCTGAATGAGGTCAATATCGTTCTCCAAGCTCCACTCTCTTATGGTCCGGAGATGAAAAGCCACCAAAAAGGCAGCAATTAATTCGAGCACGAATGTAACAATTGCAAGGTAGTAACACCATTGTAATGTGTATTTTTTGTCGTCGCCCAGATTTACTTTGGATGTTTCTGTGGTATCGACAACAAATCCTATCCACAGTATCATTAGTGCTAAGGCTGAAATAGACAAGATTTCAAGTGATTAAAATTATTGAGGTTTAGAACAAGGAGTTTTATAGGAACTATTAAGAGGTTTTTCGTGTATCGGGACTCTGATATGCCAGGATCGATTCGCACCATTCCAATTTTTAACCAATTTCAATTTTTTTTATCATTTTACACAGTGAAAGAATGGTCTGTGACCTCCGTGGTAAATAACGTGGCCCCTGACTGACCACCCCACCTGATGTGTCCTAGAAACGCAACTGTGAAGGCCAGAATTCTCTGGGTCCTTTAAAGCACAGAGCTGATTATGCTGAGTAAGGTATAAACTATAGGTGCCATTACAGCATAGCAATCACTAATCGGAATTCATGCCCAACTGGTAATCGCTATGGTGTGGGGGCAACCTAAGAAAAACGTTCATCGAAACCTCGTCAAATTCAAACCTCTTCGTTTTAAAAGAAAAACAGAAACAGAAAATGCAACAAACCTGCTAACAAATGTCCAGCTATGCATGTCTTCACAACTCCCACTTGGTACTTTTCCGTCCAAGCTTTATAGAAAGCTAAAATGTTGGCAACCAAAGCCACGGTCATGAATACAAATGTAATCAGATCAGCTGCTTGTATTATCTTAAATACAACTGAAATATTGACATAAATAAGATTGGTTACACAATGTTTCAACGGTTGATAAGTCACCTCCCCCAGGAACTGAGGCTGCCCGACACCCCCCCCCCCCCTCCTTTAATTTAAAAATTCATATCATTTTACGTAGGTGAAGAATTGCATGCATTTCAGACTAAGGTCTCAATGTTTTACTACGTTCGCCCTTTATTATTTTCATGGCCTTGTCAGGTGCACAAAAATGTGACGTAAAACACCATTTCTCTGGCGTTTTTATTATTAATTGAGTTCTTAACTGGTGGCTTGAACCACCTTTATAATACCAATCTTTCATAGAAACCACAGCGTTTCATTTCAACATACCTTTAACAGTCAAAATGGAAACGTCCTCGCATTCCAAATACTGCGTCTGAACATCTTGAATCTTGACACAACTCTTCCACAATCCATCTCGCTGTACAACTGTCCCATTCTTTTCTTGAACATATCTCCAGTAACTAGTATCCGTAACAACTATGTGTAACATTAGGGCGATTCCAGCTAATACCAAACTGACTATCAGACATTTCGTGACGGTTCCTGGTAGTTCAAAATTCATATGCGTATGTTGATTATTCTGTGAAAGATCGCTTCCATCCATTTCAGGAATCCAGTACAGTATAGGCTTGTTGCTCATGGTGGCAACTTACTCCGTGAACTGATTTCAAACTGAATACAGTCACAATTAATCTCACTCTTAGTGGTACTCAATGATGGTCCGAGAAACTATCTAAGATACTTCTACGGTAAGATCCGCGATAATTGGTCGGTAAACATCTTTTGAGTGTGTATCACATTTTAATGTCGAGTCGAGCAAAAGTGTTTGCGCACATCCGGGAATGATTCAAAACATAAACACGTAAAGTCCATTCTATTTTTGGTGGGACAAGCAATAAGACCAATTTCATTGAGACTCGTCTCAATACCATTTTCATCACCACCTAAAACATACGGTGGACTGATCCAGTCTAATTTTAGAATCGTTCCCGGATGTGCATGAATACATTTGCCCCAAATTCCTATTACTGCGAGCACTGGCTGTGTTTATATTTTGAATCCTCCCAAAAATAAAATTATTCTTCATTTTATGAGACCCGATGAAGACCAATGTTTCGCTGGAAATGTTTCCGACATTTAGAACCTTAGGCATATTAGATAAAATCAAAGTTTGGAGACTGAATGGTAACTTTCAAAGTAAGTTGCAAACTGTAATATAGCGAAAATAGTTTACTTTCCTTTAGCCAAGAACTGAGTTTGTCATGCGCATTTGAGTCCTTTTCTTTTGCCTCTTCGGTCCCCTCTACCAGTACCGTAGATACAGTCCTCCAGAAAAATTCCATTTCTGCAACAATGCCCCTTTCGGATATACTAGGTTACTTGTCCCTCCAAACATTCAAGTCAGGAGCGTCATTAGAATTGAAAGGTGTAAAAACAGAGCAAGATAAAAGAAGTTTACAATAGATTTAATAATTATCTTTAAAAACAATAATAAGGTTAATATAGATTAGAACCATCTGTCTTTTTTACATTTTTTTGTAGAGCCATCGCTGGTGTCAAAACGGTTAATATATTTTATTTAAAACAAATACTTTGACTGGTGTCTATATCTTCAACCAATTTCTCTATGTACTATCTCAATGGCTTAACCTGGAAAAAAGTATTCAAGTAGCTATACAGGTAGCTGAAGGAGCTCTATCAGCTGGTAAAGCAAGTACTAGATAGCTGAAATTGAGCTCTATCAGCTGGTAAGCAAGTATTTAAACAACTATACAGATAGATAAAATTGAGCTCTATCAACTGGTAATGTAAATATTTAAACAACTATATCTGTTTATATTAGGTACAAGACAAACAAACCTTTAATAAGAATGAATCACAGACATCTGATATAAACTGTTCTAATGTTATCATTGTTTGTCCTTTGTTATTTGTCATAGCCTGAAAGAAAAAAAAAATTTGAGGATATCTCCTATTTTTCTGCGACTGATATGGCTAACAATGAAGGACAATGCCATGCAGTGTACAATGAGCGAAATTTGTCACAACAGCAGCATCAGCCAACTCTTTTGGATTTCCAACTGTCAAAGCAACTTAAACTCTCAGAATACAAACCTATAAAACTTATGAGTGCAAACCAGGGCCTCAGAGGCTGGGCTATTGCTTTCATACATTCATTTATAACCATTTATTTTGGTGTGTTATATCTGTCTCAGACACTTAAATAAATGAAAGTAAGTTGCAGAAAGCCGGAAAGATAAATTTTTTGAAAGCAGTGTTATGAGATTTCACATGGAAAGGGAAGTAATTGGCTGAAAACTACTGAATTCCATAGTGTTTTACAAACACTTATACCAAATATATAGAAATATTCTTGGAATACATGATTCAGGATAATATCCAGGATTGTCTGCAATTGTAGGTTACTAGGGCATTTAATAACAAAAATATGCAATACTGGTATCAAATATAGTGCTGGGCCTCGCAGTCCCCAGGTTGCATCCAAAGGGGTTAAAGGTTAGCGTGTAGAACAAGGTGCCTCAGTTAAGTGTCCAATCAGAATGGAAAGGTGCTCGAATTGTAAACTACTGTGGAATACCATGTTGTGTGCTAAGTGATGTTAAAAGGCTAATCTTACCCTCTCTAAACTGTGATACAATATATCTGGTCCTAATTTATGACTAGCTTGAAATATTCTACAATAATACAAAAAATACATATATCATATTTGTACTCAAAATAACAGAGATTTTGTTGTATGTACTTTATTTAATTTGATATTTTGTACAATCTCATTGCCTTTTCATTTAACCCAATGATAGTGCTAAAGTTTAGCCAACCATATCCCTTATCACAATAAAATCCAATGTTCTGGTCATCTCCTGTACAGATATAACAGATACATGCTGTGGAAACAGTGTTTTTGGAAGAGAGGGGACCAAATTCTCAACATTGGACTTGAGACTTATGAGCAAAGTAGTTCACCTCTCTGAACAGGAGGACAAAATCATCAAGGAGAATATTCTACTGCACCAAACCTCTCCACTTATTACTAATTGACTAAGGTGCTTATATTACAATATTCCTTATTCCGGAAAACTGAACTAAGATACAATCATGATTTCAAATAATATAGTAATTTGAATTTGAAAATTCAAAAATGTTAAGTGATTGACCAATCAGATGATACTAGTTACCTATTTGAGTCGGGTTTTGTATTTTTTAAGACGGTATTAAGTTGCTGTAAGACAGTATCACACAATATTTTATCAGCTTTACCAGTTTTATCTAAATCTAATGATTGAAACAGATTCTCCGTTAGTTTACAGTAATCTGGAACAAAAACAGAGCTTGAAATATTTTATAGGACCTACTTAGTACAATGATTTCAAACATGCATCAATTGGATTCACCAATCCATTTTCTTCTGACTAATTACTCTTGTTCATTCATTCATTTATTCAATCGAGTCTTGAAGCGCTCTCTCTTCTCAGTATTGTCATTATCATTATGGATCATTCATTCATTTGAATGATGAGAAATTGTAATGTTTCAAAGTTTTGTATCTGTATCAGGGATACTGATACTAATAGCATCAATTTTCACCACTCCAATTTTCAGTCAGACTTCTGTGGGTCTTGCAAACCTATTTGGAAGTTGATATCTCTTTAAAATAATTGGTAAAATTTGACAAATATGCCAAGACAGAATAATCATTTTTACCTTGTAAAACACAACAAGTAAAAACACCAGATCTAAATACATCATAAGGTACAGCTTCATAATCACAACATTCTATCTTATTCATTAATTTACTAACAATACTAGACTCTATCTCCCTGAAAGTATAATATACGTTCATATTACATATATTAAGACACAATCTGAAACATGTTGTTACTCAGAGTTGTCTTGATCGTACAGCATGAAACTCTGAGTGACATATATAAAACAACATTTGGAGTCTCGCCCTAATCATGATCAAATCACATTGTGTTATCTGTCTGTTGAGTGATCTTAAACTTACACAGCCAATAGCACAAGAGACCTCAGTTTATTGCATATCCCATGTTAGTCGCTTGCAACGCTGACAAGGGGGAACAGGGTTGAAAAAGTGGAAAAAACCTGAAACCAGATTACCAAACATGCTTCCAATAGAATATTTTAGATATTAGGTCCATACCTGCATAAAGCTTGTAATAGTTCATTATATATAACACCATTTACTCCTTTAACTCTCTTGTAAACTAAATTATAAGCTTAAAGGTATTATGATAGGGTACTAAGTTAATATCAGAATGAAGTGAACACACAGGGACTTGGTTTGTTGTCAGATCTGAACAACAAGGTTGAAAAATCTCATAGTCTGACAAATCTTTTTTGAGACTGTGTTGCAACTAAAGTTTGACAAGTAGTACTTGTTGAAATGTTTTTTTATAAATGAACCCATGGTCGGGTGTCCACTTTGAAAACTGGAAAGTGATACAGGAAAAACTGCATCCTCTTACCTTTATGTTTATTTAAGATATTATAAGCTCTACTGACATTACTCTCAAATACAGGTCGACTATGGTGGGTCATCTGTATGGTTTGTAAAGCTTTCTGTATTAATCCGCTCTGTTCATCATATGCTTCAAAACTACAGAAAAAATATACTATTAGTATATATACCGTGTACATGTATATAAGTATAATATACCCAAATGTAAATGCATAGGAATAATCTGGGAATTATCAATCCCAGCTGTAAATGTGAATTGAGTAAATCAGCTTTCCTTATTATTCTAGTTAACTAAGCTGTAAATGGGCATGGATTATCCAGGCAAGATCTATGCCAATGGGTTTTGGATGAGGACCAGAGCCTGTTAGACAAACTCACTTTGTTTCCATTAAAATAATGATAAAGATAGTTCATTACTAGTAGTTTCATACTTACTAGTCAGCCAGAAATACCATAGGATCATCAGGTCTATTGGCTATTATTTTACCCATAACATCTTGCATCAAAAACTTTACATTAACTCTCTCTAAAAAACAACCATTTTGATTTAGAACAAAATTACTTAGCGAAACACAGGGGCAAGAGGAAACATTGTATTGGTTAGCCGGTATTAAGTAAAGTTTGAACTATGGGGTATAAAATATAAAGTAATTAGTAAAAAAAAAATACCTGACAAATAAATGACATTCAATTCAATGCTTGGGATATAATATTGGCTTTGCCTAAATGCAAGCCCTACTTTTACTTTTACTTTTTCGCAACAAAATAAAGTCCCGTCACCTTGTCTCTTCCACGCATCCGAAACTATTAAAGCCATAATTCCCTAAAGATAAGGCTTAAAGAATGTCTGATTTTAATAAATTGTATCTAAATATAAAATAACTAACCCAGGAACTGTCTGTCGGTTTCTTGCGATTTTTCTTCAGAAACCACTTTCCTTTTGTCAGCCATCTTTGTTTACACTAACTACACTCTACTTTCATTGAATAATATGGATACCGTACATAATTACATACATTTCAAGAGTAAACGAAACAGAATGACAAGGAGGTGGGCGAATTCCACGTCTTCCGATATTTCTCTTGTACCAGAACTGTCTATTTTTTTTCCATAAGATAGTCAGGTGTTCAGAACTAACTCTCAATCGGCTTTGTCCACCCCACTCCTACACCACACCCCCCTCCCCCCAATTCAACCTGGACCCGCACGTAAGTAATTCATAATGAAAAGTGGTACCAGGTGTAGCCTAGAGAGTAAAGCATATCCTGCCTGGTGCCACACCCGCATTTTCTCTAAGCTACCGTAGGCAATTCTGTCTCCTTCTCGGTCACCCCCACCTAATGACACTAATGATTCGAAAAATCCATGGAACTGGTATAACAGACAATTATGGATTTTCTACATTTTGGCTACTTGCAATGGATCAAGTGTCGTAAATAAACATTACTTTTTGCAAGCAAAGTTTGTTTTTTAAGGCATACAGTTGCGTTGTTATCGTACTAACCGTAAGACAGGCGTATAAGGCACAGGTATAGACCATCCAATAAATGTGTAAGTCAGTGGATTGGCGACTTTTGTAGGCTTAAAGACTGGTGGTATTGATTTTGGGCTCCCTCCCGTTTGATTTTGAGCACCTATGCCTATGCTAGTATATACTGTCTTTCCATGCATAACGCCACATTTAATTAGCAAATTTTCTTTGTATATTAGACAATAAAAATTCTAATGTCAAATATCCAAATCTTTGAGAATCAAACCAGCCTGACAGTCATAACAAAGTTTTTTATCTTTCAGTTTTATCCCCGATTCTCTATCCCGCACAGCCTGTCTGTGCTCCTTGCTTCCCTTGACCTTCAGTAAAATATTCTGTTCACTAACAGCCGCCATCAACAGAATTCGTCTATAACTATTCCATAAAAGAACCTGAAATAAAATACTGGAATTAACAAAAATTCTATGCTCTGACATTTCCGCAACCAAAGTTGGAAGGGGGTTGTATCATTTAGGTGTAGGCTATTCAGATTCAAATACATACAGCCCGTAGTAAAGGTTCCCAGGTGAATTTAGAGTGTGTGGAATGTCGGTACCTTACACCACCCCATTTCATTTTCAAATTTAATCGTGTAAGGCTATGGACATAGAGTTATATATGGGTAGGCCTATGATATGCATTTCAAGAAGAGCAACTTTATTGAACTTACGTCTATGGGGTTGCTATTTGCGGGTTGACTTGGGGCTTTTGAATCCCTGTCGCTCATCTTTTACGAAGTCAAAATAACAGAACTTCGGTCGAAGTCAGAGATCAAGTAGTCTCTGACACCCAGACCTCTCCTGTCTTCGACGCAAACGAAATGGAACTGGATGATTTAGGCTACCGATCTATAGGCCACTGATATATATAAATAAATTTATTGGCTTTTTTTCAAAATTTTCATACCAATTTTTCACTGATAACTGATTCATGTTTTTGGTGAAAAAGAAATATTTTAATGGTTTATTCCCTTATCGCTTTCCAATTTCGCCCCTTATTCATTTCGCCTCGTCCCGTTCTGCCCCCTTCCCATTTTGCCCCTTATTCCCACTTCGCCTTTCTCCCTACATTTACACTGAAATTGAAATGAATTGAAGCATAAGAGTAAGTTTAATACAGAAAAAGAAATTATATTGATATTATATCTGAAAAATTTGAAAAGGTCGTAAGCAGCCCTCCAACACTTACATATAATTTATATTAATTGAAGATATTGAGTATTGGTTTGAGTTCCAAACTGCCACAGAACCATAATGCCTACCGGATCGAAATTAAAATCGAAACAAGCATAATTATATTATTTAAGAATATAGGGGCGAAGTAGGAAGGGGGCGAAATGGGAAGTAGTGAAGTGGATAGGGACAAAATGGGCAAGGGGCGAACTGGGAAAGGGGGCAATTGGGAAGAGAACGAAATGGGAAAGGGGCGATTTGGGAAAGGGGCGAAAAGGGAATGATTTAGGGGCGAATTGGGAAGGGGTGATGCGGGAAGACACCGGTTGACTTAGGGGTAACACCACCACACGCGATCAGAGAGACATGAGGGATAAAGGGCCCTACGAATTTTTTGTTCCTTGGGCATGGAAAAGCTCAGAGCTTCTCAGTCCACATCTGAACGCGGCCAAATTGTCTTTATGAATTATTCGTAGCCATAGATCTCTATGGTTTATTATGTTTACATGTTTATTTCTTCACTATGACAAATTAATAAGGGTTTATTTGTTTGGTAGCTTAATATTTGTTCAACCAAACATATCTATCAGTGTCATATGCTACTTGTTATTGCAACCGAAACTATGACAAATTTTAAAGACCGTTGATAATTGATAAAGGTACCTTTCAACTGAAATTGGGGTAAGTGTATTGAGTCGACATGCCCAAATTGTCACATTTCAGGTCAAATCTGTCATCAAAAATAAGAGGACAGGGACAACGACTCCTTGGCGTTGAAAATTTCAGAAGATTTGAACCCACAGTCTCGCAAATCCATAACTTAATACAGACCCATTTATATACAGGCCATGGGTCGACATGAATAGCCTAGAATTAATAAAGGAAGATGTTTTATTCGGGTTTACCACATTATCGTACGCCGACTGAGATTATAATCCTCGACCACCAATTGTTCGACCTACAAAGCAAAATAAAGTCATGTAAATATTTAATCAACTGTCAACGGAATTGAGAGGTAATTGGTTTTTGAGGCAAATTGCACTTTACACCCACCGTAATTTAAGACGATGGCTATTTTTAGCTGAACTGTTTACAGTCACGAGTTGACATGACGTCATAACATGTGAGTCTATGTCATTCTTCCTATCTTTATACCTACGCCGATTTACTAACAAAATTCATCGCTCATAAGCAATAAAAGTCGTCTTGACAAAATCTAAGAATCATTGTGTGACTTTCATTTGGTATTGATTGAAACTCAGTCGAAATTTTCATTTTTTAGCGGATTTAAATTTTCTCTGTAAAGGATTATTTTGTATTGCGTAGGAATATATCAAGGTGTGATCAGATTGACAAGTGCGCTGTGGCAGTCAAGACGGACTTTAATTAAATTTTTAAAGAATCTCCAATTTTTTCTGGTGATAATATCTATAAACTGACAAAATGGTTGAGGGTGGAATGAAATGTATCAAACTACTTTTGTTTGTCTTCAATCTATTGTTCGTGGTAAGTATTAGAAGCCATTTAATTGATTAAAATATGTCAAAATTTTTCTGATTTTGAATGTGAAATCTTGATAGAATTTGATTGTTTATGTGGCGTGTTTCCACTAAAAATTAGCCTATGATCTTTGTAGATCAAAATTTACGATGAACGTACATCGCTTTGATTTTTTATGATATTATTAGCCAATGAGACTGGTCAGTCACCCAGTGATAATGATAAGTAAAATGCAGCGCTAGACTAGATAGACCTAGCCTAGTGCTTGTGTAGTCTAGTGATATTTTTTTTTGCCCATCTCTAAGGATCTAAAAGAAAATAAAACATGCTCCCGCCGTCCATGGTCAAAGGATCCGAAAAGTCCATGGGGCGTTGCTTGTAGAGCAGGAAGATAGAAGGATCTAGAAATGCATAGGCTCCAAGTTAAGGTTTCAATGTTCAATATTATTTTCAAAGAGAATTTTATTCATTATCAAATGTTCAACTCAAAGAGTCAAAGACACCATAGAAATTTGATATTGTTTGATTGCAAAACACCAAACTTGGCTTACTGCATAGTTTAATTCTTAGATAAGTGGTCATTCATTATTTGAAATAGGGTGGGGCTAATAATATAGTACTGTGTAATCAAATCTGTCACTATATCTTGGCCTATAAATAAACATACTCTAACCATATGTGAATTTATTTAAATTATTACAATATAGGGAAATAAGTCATTACTATTTGGAGGCAAAGGTTCCAATGCTCTTAAAAAATATAGAAAAAATTCAAAAATATGTTTGCTATGCTCAGATCACGACTCATTTAAATATGACAATGTGGCCACTGGCCAGTCAATCCAACTATAGCTTAAGGAAATTTGGTCAAGGAAACAAACATCAAGTCTAAATTAAGCTTCTCCAAATGAATTTGAGCTTATTGTCTTCTTCAAGCCTTTCTCCGAACATCTACATACATTTTAAAAATTAAGAATACAGTACATGGATAATTCATTAAAAACACAATTATCAAAAAATTAACTTGAATTAACTCTTAAATATTATCTTTAAAGATCGTCAATATTTTGTTATTGTAGATTATTGGTACCGGTATAAGCTTACTGATATATATCATATTGTGATTATATTTTGTCTATCTTATTGTAGATTGCTGGTATTGGTTTGATTGGAGCCGGATCCTATGTCCAGATAAAACTGACTGAGTACAGTGATATACTGGGAAGTCAGTATACTGGCCCAGGCATATTGATTATAATAGTAGGCGTGGTTATCTTCGGAATTGCCTTCTTTGGATGTTGTGGTGCCATCAAGGAAAATTATTGTCTTGTTATGACCGTAAGTAACATTTCTCACCAGACTGAGTTTCAAGAATAAATTTGAATAATTGTTTACAAGAGTGGTTCTTTCTGGCTATGGATTGACTTGTTTATCGGGAAATAAGATATTTATATAGGTTCTAATCTCTATCAGTTGGTGTATTTCATCATCTTTCTTCATTATTCCAGAAATGTACCAGCTGGTAGACAGGATGTTCCTAAACCTAAGTTGTTAATCTTGCAACAAAAATGTTTGTATTTCTTTTGAGAAGCCTTCATTACATGTTTCTTCTGTTTATAGTTTGGTGCCCTGTTGACAATCATCTTTATCTTGGAAATTGCTGGAGGTATTGCTGGTTTCGTTTTGAAAAATCAGGTGAGCTAACTCTTCTATAATTTCTTAAAAACTAGCACAATTACATTTTATTCTATATCATGTTTTTATTTACCTTACTTTTGTCCTGGCCATATATATTACACACTATGCTGGCCATATTTCCCTCATTGCACACTGTCCTGGACTTGTATCTGGTTATCATTTTTGAACATATGATTATTTTTTATTTATTTGTTTTCAGATAGAGAGTGATGTCATTACTCTATTAAAAGAGAAAGAAGGACAATATTACAAAAACGATGGTGTGAAAGCATCTTTTGATGCCTTACAAAAAGATGTAAGTTGATATTTAGATGCTTGCCAATCTTTAAGTAGCAATGCCTTTAATTACACACTCAGGAAAGAGTTGGCTTGGTTTGTTAAAGGCTTGCTCACTAACCTTCAGGGGTCAATTCTAGCATTGGTCGAAATAAAACCATGAGATTTTCAACCCTCTTTGCTCCTTCCTATAGGAGGGACTGGCATGGAAATAGTGTTGAAAATAACAAATAGTAGGCTAATGACTCTGTAGTGGCAAAATGCCCTTCATTGTACAAATAACAGCCTAAGCTGCTGCAGAAAAATGGAAGGTAATACACAACTCGTTTAATTTCTAATGTATAAGCTGTATTCAAAATTGAGTACCCGGTACTTGACTCAATTGGTATCATTTGCATCATATCAAATTTATGATAACCTCTCCCCTGTCTACCAGCTGAACCTTGGCCAACCTCTTGGTACAGATCAATCGGGACTCATTTACAGCTGGGTGGAAAAGAGGGATGGAGGGAAAAATTTAGTTAATATTGCTAAATGTGATAAGTGTGAAATGTTTTTGTAGTTTGCCTGTTGTGGAGTTGATGGACCTAACGATTGGATCAATGGCACTGCCAATAATACAATTCCAACATCTTGTTGTAAGGATTTCAAACAAGGACAGACTTGTGACTTGGCTAAGGCTTATCCAGAGGTGAGTACAACCCTAATATCATTTTAAAAAGATTTTGGTCAAGTGCCTTTTCTTCTTTGCTAGTCAAACTATTCATATCCATAATGCAATACACAAAGTAGAGAAGGTTTTTTATGTGTATTAAGGCTTCTTTATTTGTATCATTCTAATTTCCCATCAGATGTCTGTATTTCAACAATTTCAATTCTTCTGGGACACAGCAATTTGACAAAAATTCTAAATATGTCTTAGATCCATTGCTATAGTGACATCATAATTCGCTTAATTATAGTTTATTATCATCCCTCTATTGATATATAATAGGTCACAGCTAGATCTGATATTTATTATTTTTTATATAGGGTTGCGAGAAAAAATTTGTGGACTATCTGAAAAATAATATTGGTATAATTGGTGGAATTGGTATTGGTCTAGCATTTATTCAGGTAACTACTTCTTCATTATTGTTTTTTTCACACACCCTTGTAGATATGACCACATTTCACTTTATCCAAATCAATGTCCTTTTTCACAAAAGAAGGGATTGCCTTACTGTGCATAATATTTACAAAACAATGCTGTAAGTAGAAGCATGCTGATTGGCTGGTTTGGAATTCATAACACAAGACTTAAACAAAAATTGTTGTAGCCCCTCAAATATACCACAAACTAGAAATTTCTCTCTTTAATTTTTACTATTTTTACTACGCTTTTTTTTTTATATGGTGGAATATTGAGAAAAGAAAAATTATCTTTTTAACTTTCAATCGCAGAAAATTCGAAGACACACATAGGTTTGACAGCTCAAATTTTGACGTTGAGCTGTGAACGCTATTACTGATTATCTCAGCTTTAAAATATTCTGATTGGTTGAATCTGTCCCTTTAAATGTTACTAATCTTTGGATGTTTTTTTTTTTTTTTTGCAGGTTGTTGGAATATGTTTTGCTTGCTGTTTGGCTAGAGCTATCCGAAAAGAATACGAAGTAGTGTAATGTACAGAGTACTATAGAACTCTGTCCTCATTTCATATCTCTGCTCATTTCAAAGTTATTTTTCCAGTCTTCAGGATGGTTATTTTTGATAAAATTTCAATACAATTGTTAATTTGACACAAAAATCTATTTTTGGGATAAATAAGTACCAGAATTGTTATGTTAAATAAGTCAGTATTTAAAGTTCCAAATACAAGTACCAGAACAATACATAGACTAGTCATGAATATTAGTGATAATTTCATCTTATGTTTTCTTGATATCTTCGCAAGTTATCAAACCTTTACAGTTAATTTGATTTCAATATTGATTATAAAATGTTCTTTTTTATCTTAGAAAAAACATTCACTAACAGAAAAAAGCAGGAAACACTCTTTTCATTTCAATGTCTTGAGAGTTTGAGACTCTTATGATTTTCTCAATTAGAATTATGTCAACTCATTTTCATTATCTATTCATGCATCTTATTGTTATTTTTTATTTGTTATACTATTGCCTTGGTGACAATTATGTGGGGTTTATAGTAGACCTAGATTTAGACATGTTAGAAAATAAGACTTGGAATATCGCTTCAACAGTAGAGAAAAGGTTCAACTGGGGAAAAAAGTGGCTACTTACAAAGTGATGTCTTTGAGTAAATGTGAAAGAGCTGGGATGGATTTATGTGAGACTATGGACAGTGCAGAATTATCTGAATTTCAAGAAAATAGATAAAAGCTTAGCTTGCCTGGACTTTAAGCATTTTGCATAATTGCCTGATTAAGCTGTATGGATAATCTTGAACCGTATAAAGTATGTACTCGCATATTCCCTCTTTGAGGCTATTTCTTCTCGTGTTTGATTTAGAGCCTTCATTTCCTATCATCTGCTATGTATTTTTAAAGCTTTGATGTGATGTTATACTTATGTACTTAAAATATTCAACACGACCGAATAATTACAATCAAAAGAAACTATATACCGGTAAATTTATTGCCTTCTTTCATTTAGCAAATAGTTGAAATGTCTTTAAGACAATATTCCATTGTGTTTTTGTTGAATGTATTGATGTCTTGTGGATTTTTGAAATAGGGTCACATATAATTGTTAATTGTTAGATTGGGTAAATTTAGGTTTTCTGTCTGATACTTAAAATAATTGTAAAGAGGTTTTCTTAACTTTTTCTGTCTATTGGAGAAGCTTCAATGTGCACCGTTCAAATTTTCAGAAGTTTATGGGTCTGTAGCTCCACTTAACCTGAGCGTTTTATGGCATCGAAAACCTCTATACAGTTCCTTTAAGCCACTAGTTCAAACCATTTTAGGGTAGATCTGGTCAATGTGTAGCTAAGACTTAGTGTTAGCTTCTTCAAATAACATATTGGTATATATAATGTTCTTGAATTTTCTAAAAAAAAAAACAAGGTTCACAGTTTAATGCTATGTTTTTCACATTATTTTTGCTAATATTACATTTTTGTGTGCGCATATCAAAATTTTCTAAAGATATATATATCATAGATTTGTTCTTTCTGATTATGTTTTAGCTCTGGTCAAATTTTGATACAAGTTGCAATTTTCATAGCAGCATATTAACATTCAACAATTAATGTAATAATGTAATGTTATATTATAATGTTATAATGTAATGTTATAATATAATGTTATAATGTAATGTTATATTATAATGTAATAATGTAATGTTATATTATAATGTTATAATATAATGTTATAATGTAATGTTATAATATAATGTTATAATGTAATGTTATAATGTAATGGTGAATGATGTTATTTTAATATTGTTAATGAATATATTATAAATATTGTTCAAATATTTTTTGTGTATATTGTTGGCCAATAAATTTCTCATTATATAAAAACTTGTCCTATTAGAAAGCTGCCATCAGAAACTCAAACCCCTTTATATTGTTAAATCCGCATGGGTTAAATGGATTGTAAAGAGATCTTGCTTATGTTTGTTTTTTTTACATCCACACGACAGACGTTTAAAGGCGCCAAATTGTGTTCAGGGCAGTATTCAAAACTTTATAAGTTGTGGCGTTAAAAAAATTAACGGCTGGATTTTTTTAACTTATAATATTCAGATACGATAAGGGACATATTTCTCTAGATTTAGGTGTATCAAAAAAAAGTCGTTTAGTCGTCTCAGACTTTTAACCTATTGAAAAAACAGTTAAGCACTTGCAGTGAGTACACTCAGTCACCTGTTGTTTTCAAGCAATGAAAGTGTCATAGCCTCGGTTCTAAAATTTAAGGACAACACGTATTGAACACGTGACTGTTTCTAGCACGTGCATAGATATTTTGGTTTTATATTGTGGAAGACATGTGCGTGAAAATAATTGAAATGGAATTACCATAAAGAAATAATTATCATTAAGTTAGTTTGAATGATTTAACTCTATAAGTGATGATGTATATTTTGAAGGCAATTACTGCATGGGATAGACAATGAAATACTAATCCGAAAAGTTCAATTTAAACAGAACAGACCAATAGATTTTAACAGTTTTGAGGCGTCCACTGAATTTTAAGTATAAGTGTGACAAACAACGCATGGATTTTTCCTTTATTTTTGCTGTTGAATTATTGCTTATTTCGGTAAGTAGTCACACCTATTTATTTGTTTCCCTCGGTAATTAACAGTCCATTTCAGTTCACTTATTGACACTTTTGACACTTTACTTAGGCTAATTATTATTATTACAACACAATCATTTTACACCGTATTCAAACAACATTCAAATCCATATAACATAACATTGACAATTTCAATTTTGAATATGTGAGAAATAGTAGAAAATATCAATCCCGAGCTTAGAATGATCGGAGAGTAGCCTAAAGTGTGTTTGTGTTTGATCTTCTGAAAAACACTAAAGCCGCCTTGCCACTTTTGTTTGTCATGTCAAAATCTTTATGTAGGCTCACATAGCTTATAATCTCTCGTATTTTTATAAGTATGTCAAAATGTTTGCGCAGTTGAACCTTGTAAATTAATTCCTCAGAAGTGATTTAACACAGTGGCAATATCATGGCTGAGAAACAGTAAAGGGTAGAATTGTCGGGCTACTCGTTAATGAATCGAGTAGCCCGATTAATGGTGAAGACCTACCCAGTTCCCTCAGACGTAATATGAATGTGATATTCCTAAACAGTGACAATATCACTAGTTAGAACTAGGTAGAGTTGTCCGGCTATAGTTGATTTATAATTGATAGGGATGACCCTATTTTGGTATTTTCCTAGACAGGTACAATATCACATCCGTATATTATACGTCTGAGAAACTGGGCAGGGTCGGCGCTGACTATTGTTCAACCTTGTTGATTCACTGGCAAGGGGCAGAGTTATCCGGCTAGTTGATTTATAAACAACAGGGATGGCCTAACCCAGCTCCTCGAGTGATATACGGACATGATTTCATCTAAATCGTTACGAAATCACATCCGTGTATCACGTCTTAGGACCTGGTAGGGCAGAGTTGTCGGGCTAATTGAATCATTAATATTAAGTCTTGCCCTTCTCAGTTCCTCAGACATGATAAACGAATGTGATACCTTCCTAAACAGTAACAATATTACATTCATATATCGCGTCTGAGAAACTGGGTGGGGCTGGAATTGTCGGACTACGTTTGATCACATATTAACATGTGAGGAACTAAACACAGTAACAATATCACATCCGTTTATCACGTCTGAGGAACTGGATAGAATTGACGGGTTTCATTGTTAATGAGTCAGCACATTCTGTTTAACAGTTTAAAATTGGTATATTTGATAACTATAGCATATATACTAGTATTATATCGATTTTTTACTCTGACATTTTACTAGTATAATATCTAATGTTGGAGTCGCCCAAATACACACACAAAATCAATAGTTCATCATCATGCATCATTTTGCAATATCTTTTCGACTGTGAGGAATAGAATAATGAGGAAGAGTTAAATAAAAGGAGTTGTTAAATTGTTTTCTTAACTTTGTTTGTGAAGTGGGGAGTTGGAGTCGCCCCGAGTTAGATTTCCAAAATACCAATTTGATGGACATTCCATGAGATACAAGCATTCAATGTAAGGGTTGTATTTCCATTTTGTTCGCAAATAAAATTGCACAGAATCCTACCCTACAGTCCTTCTGAATATATATTTTTTTGAATCGAACAATCTGTCAATTTTGAATAATTTTCAATGATAAAGCTACGAAGTCTAAATGTTTGAAAAATAATTCAACGTTTATAGATGAAACAGGCCGTAGCGTTCGGATTTGCAAGTTTTCCTGCCCTTTCGAAAATGATGAGAAAAAGTTAAGTTGAAATAACACAGGTAAGTTCCAATATTTAACTCATTTAAAGTGTTGGTAAAGATATTTTCAACAAAAGTCAACAAAAATTTTACGTGTATATCGAGAACACTGACAGTGCTCATCGATTGCAAGATCCTCAGATGTCTGACTGAAAATTTGCACGGTACAAATCAAGGCTATCAGTGTACTCGATAAACATAAAAAGTTTTTTGCTTGACTCTCATTAAATGAACTTATCGTGATTATGTTTTGAGTCATAATGTGCACAGATATCTTTATTCGATAAAAAAACTAAAGGGGTCCTCCAATCATTGCGATCACCAGACTGTGCGTATGGTTGCGATAATTATAGCGGCCGGGGGTTTCTAACGCAACTCTCATGTTGAGTTGAGTTCAAAACTCATGTCCATTACCATTATTTGCATCCATACGCAACTGTTGATTGCTATGGTGTGAGAGCACCTTAACTAGATAGTTAGGTAGATGACAAGTTAACGTGCGCTTCCAGCGGATGCTAATATCGCAAACTAGCACCTTAACTGAATGTGTACGGTATTTATAGTACAGGAGACTCAAGCTTTAAGCGTAACAGGTGTCCTGTGTCGGCCATTGTTGAGGGAGTTGTTATTATTATTCAGGCATTTCTTGTTCTGTCTCTACCGCGGAATAGCAGGCGCATATAGGACTGTAGCCGTCTCTTATATAACCAACGAAAATGGTGGAAGGGGGCATGAAATGTATCAAATTTATTATATTCGCCTTTAATTTCTTATTTGTGGTAAGTATAGACTTAAAAATATAGTTTCAACATAGTGACACGTCGAGCGGATGCTTTTTGACAGATGTCGGCCAGTTGGTGTTTCGATAAATATAATTTATCAATTAATATCAAATTTTGACTGTTAAACAATAAACAACTTTGACTATAAAAAATAAACATCTTTAGATATTAAACAAATAACTTCGGCTATTAAACAAACAACTTTGATTTTTAAAGAAAAAATAACTTTGACTATTAAAAAATAAACATCTTTAGCTATTAGACAAACAACTTTGGTTATGAAAGAATAAACAACTTTGACTACCGGTATTACGAAATAAACAAATTTGGTTATTGAAAAATAAACAATTGTTTTCTCCGTTTATGTCCATAGTCCCTTTAAAAGAACTTCATTTGGTGGCACATGTCACTTCAATGAGTCATATTGATGTACATTAGACGATGGCGGCCAGCCGGCCTTGTCTTCAAGGGATTATAAAGGGATTTCTAAACTTTCTACGTGTATTGGGAACACTAATTTGCACTATTCCAATGTTCAGTCAGTCAGTTCAGTCTGTCCTGTAATCCTATTAGATTTAAGCGTTTTATGATGTCATTTTCTGAAAAGCAGAAAATAATTTATTTAAACAAAAAAACTTTTGAGATTGTGACGTCATATATGGTTAATTTCTATAATTAGGCCTGGAATGTTGCAAATAGAAGAAATGTATATTATATAAAAATCTAGAAAACCTCTTTGCAACCCCTTTAACCTCTACACATTAATATTGCATTATGAATAATCAATAGAATAATAAACTTAACAAAGCTGAGACCAGATGTGACTTGTAGATTTACGGTCAATAAATATTTCTCATGAAATTATCAAAACACCTTTCAATTTATTGTATTTAAATATGTGTAGGCCCATTCTATTGTTGAAACAAATGAAATAAAGATTCGTGTTTCGTGTTTTTCTATTCCTGAAAAAAACGGAACACAATATTGTGGTATACTACTCACAATATGGTGGAAGCAAATTAAATAATTTATTCTATACTATACTTTGGGTCTAATATTACACGACGTTTCAACAATTTACATTGTAATCATTAGGTGAAAGAAAATGTAAATTGTTTTGTACAATAAAACTAACGAAGTATACCATAAGTATACCATAAACTTGTGTTCAGTCTTCTAATGTTAGCTCTACCCCTTGGCAAAACATCTAGTCGTCCAAATGGGGCAATAAGCAGAGGCCCTGTGTGCTACAGGCTGTGGACATTAAAGATACCTCGACAGTTGGAAATCGAAAAAGAGTAGACCAATGCCACCAATATTGATGGCAAAATTGGAGGGGGGGGGGGGGGAGTTAAACTTTGGTTTAGTTCAGGTTTACTTTAGTTTAATTGTGTTGGAAGATTCTTACGAATCCCGAAATTAACAATTTATCTCATTGTTACCCCATTCTTTGATACGCAGTGAGAAATAGCTCTTCACAATAGTTGTTTATTTGTCGCGGAGTAAATGTTGAAAAGGTTAGAATTTGATAATACATTTAAATGTCAACTAAATTAAATATTCACAAAAAAAAAAGAACTGTATTATAGTCAGTCACAAAGAGTATATATTATAAATATATTATATTTCATAAAGTGACGGTGGCTTAGTTTGATTTTTTTTATTGTAATTTTAGTTATATTTTACATTTCTGTTTTCTGAATCATCAGTTTTCTTTCCTATTTTTTTATATGTTATGTTTTGAATGATTCTTCCTTAATTATATGTATTTTTCATATTTGTTTTCAATAAACATAGATCTCTATTAAAATATGTCCTAAACGAGCCACCGTATGAAGTTTATAATTACAAATAATGGATGGTTTCACTCTTTATATAGTTATTAACATTTTAATTGTTCTCATTAAACTTTGATCTTATATTGTGATACTATACCCTAAACATTTTAAAATCGACAATTAATAGGCTTGAGTTCAAAATGTCACGTACAGCATTTTTTTCATTTTTATATTTTGCAGTGTTGTCCCCTTTTGTATTCTGATTAAAGTTTGTGTCTATATATTTGGTACTTTTTTTTATCTGAAGGTATCTGATATATATATTAATCCATAACTTTATAACTGTGATATTTGTTAACATAGTTTATAAAAGTTGTTAGCGTCCACTGTCTTATAAACCAACTTCGATATCGTGACATGTCGTATCGCGATACATCGATTCACCGATATACCGTGCCAGCACTAACTAAAACACTGTTAAAAGTTCAGAATTTCTGACATATATTAATGAAATCTATTGTTGAACTATGTATTTGATTGGTTGTATTACATGACCAAGAACAGGAGATGCATAACAACTGTGTTTAGCAAATAAATCCTGTTTACTTTTATTCCCCATTGCCAAAAAGCAAGTTTGTCCTGACGAGAATTTTTTTATCCCGATACATGTGTAGCAGCATGAAGATTAGTTTTTATCAATGAGATATTTTTTTCAGATCGTAGCCTGTGGATTAATTGGTCTTGGTTCCTACATTCAGATCACTCTCTCCGAGTTCTTCGATTTTTTCGGCAATGAATTTGCCGGGCCAGGGATAGTGCTGATTATAGTGGGTTTGGTCATATTTGTGGTGGCAACTTTCGGATGTTGTGGTGCCTTAAAAGAGAACTACTGCTGTATTATGACCGTAAGTGTCCTTTTATTTCAAGAAGTGAAAACAAAGTTGTTATTCTTGTAAAGAAGTTGTTCTTTTTTCTTAACCCCATCTTCTGTGTTCTGAAAGCTGTTCAACGATAGTACTAGCTCTCTATCATATATAAGGAAATGGTTACGAATAATCCAAGAGGTTTGACCAAGGACTAGCTGGCAGACTGAATCCTTGTTATCCTCGGTTGTTATTGTTGAAAATAGATGTTTTTTTTTATATATATATGACAATTTAAACTGATTCTTAGTAATCCACGTCTCATTTTTTCCAGTTTGCTGTCCTACTGGGCATAATATTTGTCATTCAGATAGCAGCCGGTATCAGTGGTTTTATTCTCAGAGAATCAGTAAGTAATATTTACTCCTCCTAGGGCTATCTGCAGCTCTGTCAAGGATGAAATACGACACACAGTCCGTACACAACTGAATAAAAATGTATTACCATGCATAATATATCAACATAATTATGACTACTTAGACCTACATGTCGGTATTTATACGGATAGCATATATCGTGTTGTATCAATTGGTAAAGGAACTAATTAGCCAACCATAATATGTCTGTTAATGAAAAGTATAACCCGCCAATGCGAATCGCACGTCGTAATTTCAATTTAAAAAGAGTTAAGGATCTTTAAGTTGTATCTGACAATGACATTTTTAGCCGACTATAATTATGTCTATTAATGTTATTATGTTTTACTAATGGTACATGTATATTTATCGCATAATTCACTATCCACTGCTATTTGATAATTCACCAATTATTATTGATATATGGCTTGGAACAGTGTGACTCATATATGTCTATGTACAGTTATTGTCAACCGTATCCGATTAAACATCATAATCAACTTAATTTATATTTTCTAGCTTCTATTTTTCCTGTGGGTTACTTCACTGATTCTAATTTAAGACCCTCAGATTCTCATAAACTAAGATGATTTTAGTGCTCCAGTCATCTGATTGATCAATCACTTAAATCCATATTGAATTTCATTTTATCATCCAATTAGATTATTGCATTTCTCATTAAGATTATCAAAGTGTTCCAGTCATCTGATTGGTCAATCACTTGAGTCCGTAAGGAATTTATTTTCAACCAATCAGGCTGCTGTGCTTCTCATAAAATAAACTTCAAAATAATAAATAAGTAAGCTTAATTGTCCATTGGAAACGTACAAAACCTTAAATACGCAACTGAATACAACACATACTAATTGAATTATCATGTGTTATTTTTCAGATGAGAACAGAAATTGTAAAGATTTTAAAAAATGCAGAGCCTAATTATGGTAAAAATGATGGCGTTACTAAGACTTGGGATAAACTTCAAAGAAAGGTGAATTTATTAATTTGATTATTCGACATTAAATCACTAGATTAGATTAGTTGACTCTATTGCTGTCAGTATGTGAAATGAAATGGAGTCTCCATTGACATAATATTTAGACATCACAGAGTTTAAAAAAAGTGTCTTTTCCGGCCGTAGAATTTTTCAAAATTGTCAAAATATTGTGCTTTTCATGGGATACAGCAACTTTTGAAAATTCTCATTACAATGAAGCCCTTCTAAACCGAATCTTCTGTAAACCATGTTTTCACAATGTCAAGCTATTCAAACTTCGTCTTTTATCTTGACTGCAATAGCCCACTTATTCTTATATTGATTCATATATTCATAAGTAAATGCGGCGATTTGATTGGATTTTACGCTAACGAAAACACCCAATTATTCCTCAGCAGAAAGTCTGTAAACATTAAGCCATAATATTTACAGTTTTCTGTCGTAATACCTTGACCATTGTGAAGATATCTGTAAAGCGGCATTCCCTCTGAAATTTTTATGATTTATTTTGTTGGTAGTTTGAATGTTGCGGTGTAGATAACTATACAGAATGGTTCGATTATACTGCTGACAAATCTGTACCAGAATCATGTTGCAAAGATGCTGAGAGTGCAGCCTGTAAAAACAGGACCCAGACCATCACTGATGACGATTTCTACACTCGGGTTTGTGTCTTTATTCCTATTACATCATATTCGAAGCATTCAATTAAGATTAAATATTGTTCTGATGATTTTCGTTCCATTGTAATCTAACAAGTTTTCTACCACATTCTCGTTCTAATTATATTTAACCTATCAAAAAGTATCATGTCGCCGATCCGTTTCTTGAAAACAATGACGGACTAGCCTTAGTCAAGAGTAGAAACGTCACAGGTTTATATCGAATATCTGTTTTTTTTTCAGAGTTGTGTAAAAGGTTTTGTTGGTTGGTTACAAGACGAGATTGGAATAGTTGGAGGTGCTGGTATTGGTTTAGCTTTTGTAGAGGTACGGTAATCTTGTCTTATTTTTCAAAAGGGGTACGGTTGCTTTTAATACCTCTGTTTTAGGGCGTAGTATTTCTATATTATGTAGAAATAACATCTCGTTACTGATAAGGAAAACCCGGTTTGAGAGATTCGATATCTCGCCTTATGCCGGGATTGAGATGATACCCAGCCTGTCTCGGCCCATGATGCACATCCATATTTCTCATTCATTCGTCATTCAAATTGTATTCAGTAAATAAAATCATTCAATTCATTTATTCATTCATTCATTCATCAGTAATTTAAACATATTATATTTAGTAATTTTAATCAATCAATTATTTACATTCATTCATCTAACTATTCATTCTTTCTATCCTTCATTATATTTCAGGTTGTTGGTATTATATTAGCTTGCTGTCTAGCCATGGCAATACGTAAAGAATATAAAGTCTTGTAAATAATGCTGTCAATTAGAAGTCTGTATTAATCCATCTTCACAATGTCAAGCTATTATCTATTACGAATTAATACCTCGAAACCATCTGGCAATTTACTTGTTTATCGGAAGTTTGTAAATACAGAGGTTTGGTTGGATTGTATCCTTAAGTTCGTAATAATAGCTTGACATTGTGAAGATTTCTGTTTCATAGTTGAAGTTCACCTGATTATACACCTCTGCGCGCCAGGTATCATTAATATAGATACTATATACCAAATAGTGGGAGGGGAGGGGAGAGGGAGGGGAGAGGGGGGGGGGGGGGGGGCCTTATTTTATCAACTTCAACTTTTTCAAAAAGGTCATTCAAAATTGTCTCTATTAAGACTATGGTATAGTTATTTCAGAATACTCCACGTAATTTGGCTCCTTTTCATTCCAATTTTCAGGAAAATCCAAATTTCGGCGGCGAACTATGAATAAGTTAACTTTAAATACACTTTGGGGAAAATCTTTGGCTTCAATAAAACCTTTTGGCTTTCGAGCAATATATAAATTACAATTACAATTTATAAATTACAAATTGCATTTTATTAAATAAATTACAAGTCAAATGAGAAAATACGGTGAAATGGCAATGTACGTTTTTTTTTTGTTTTTTTTTTTTTTGAATTTACAAATTTTATTGTATATTATAATTGTTGTTTTGTTAAACTCTATAAATGTTTAAAATAACGTTATCTAGTCTATTGTCTTGTTAAAATGTCTATATATTTGTATATAATTGTATCAGAAAAGAGGGTTATTCGAAGGTGCTTTATGTCATTTTTTTGCACTTTTCAAAATTATTACAGAGGAAATTGGTGTTTAAAAACTTTGTTATTCTTATTTAATTTTACCTATCTAAATTCAACCTTATCGGCTAATGTTAAATTAATTTTGTTTTCAATTTCACATTCAAGTTACAATTTAATTGAATAAATTATTATGTGCTTGAATTTTGTATTTTGTTTTGTGTAGTTGGAAGGAGGGTGTAGGGGGGAGGGGCTGCGCAGATGAGAGCAGAAAAACTGCACATGTTTACGAGAGTCCTACACGTTTCCGATATGATCAGTTCTGGGCCCCGTTTCAGAAGGCATCTTGCGATGGGAATTTGTATAAACTCTTGAATTTACAGGTCAACACAGCAGTGACGTTTATATATAGGTCAACCACAGCAGTGGCGTTTATATATAGGTCAACACAGCAGTGACGTTTATATAGGTCAACATAGCAGTGACGTTTATATAGACCAACCATAGCAATGACGTTTATATATAGATCAACACAACAGTGACTTTTATACAGGTCAACCATAGCAGTGACGTTTATTTATAGGTCAACCATAGCAGTGACGTTTATATATAGGTCAACAAAACAGTGACGTTTATATATAGGCCAACCGTAGCAGTGACGTTTATATATAGGTCAACCATAGCAGTGACGTTTATATATAGGTCAACCATAGCAGTGACGTTTATATATAGGTCAACACAAACAGTGACGTTTATATATAGGTCAACCATAGCAGTGACGTTTATATATAGGTCAACCATAGCAGTGACGTTTATATAGACCAACCATAGCAGTGACGTTTATATACAGGTTAACCATAGCAGTGACGTTTATATATAGGTCAACCATAGCAGTGACGTTTTATATAGGTCAACACAACAGTGACGTTTATATAGGTCAACACAACTGTGACGTTTATATAGGTCTACCATAGCAGTAACGTTTATATAGGTCAAACACAGCAGTGCACTTTACATAGGTCAACACAGCGTGACGTTTATATAGGTTAACAGCAATTGGGTTTATATAGGTCAACTACAATAGTGGCGTTTATATAGGTCAACACAGTAGTGACGTTTATATAGGTCAACACAACAGTGACGTTTATACAGGTCAAATACAGCAGTGACGTTTATATAGGTCAAACACAGCAGTGTACTTTACATAGGTCAATACAGCAGTGACGTTTATATAGACCAACCATAGCAGTGGCGTTTATATATAGGTCAACCATAGCAGTGACGTTTATATAGACAAACCATAGCAGTGACGTTCATATATAGGTCAATCATAGCAGTGACGTTTATATAGACAAACCATAGCACTGACGTTCATGTATAGGTCAACACAGTAGTGACGTTTATATAGACCAACCATAGCAGTGGCATTTATATAGGTCAAATACAGCAGTGACGTTTATATAGGTCAACATAGCAGTGACGTTTAGATAGACCAACCATAGCAGTGACGTTTATATATAGGTCAACCATAGCAGTGACGTTTATATATAGGTCAACGATAGTAGTGACGTTTATATATAGGTCAACCATAGCAGTGACATTTATATATAGGCCAACACAGCAATGACGTTTATATACAGGTCAACACAGCAGTGACGTTTATATATAGGCCAACAATAGCAGTGACATTTATATATAGGTCAACCATACCAGTGACGTTTATATATAGGTCAACCATAGCAGTGACGTTTATATATAGGTCAACCATACAGTGATGTTTATATATAGGTCAACCATAGCAGTGAGGTTTATATATAGGTCAACACAACAGTGACGTTTATATAGGCCAACTATAGCAGTGACGTTTATATAGGCCAACTATAGCAGTGACGTTTATATTTAGGTCAACCATAGCAGTGACGTTTATATATAGGTCAACCATAGCAGTGACTTTTATATAGGTCAACACAACAGTGACGTTTATATAGGCCAACCATAGCAGTGACGTTTATATAGACCAACCATAGCAGTGACGTTTATATACAGGTCAACCATAGCAGTGACGTTTATATATAGGTCAACCATAGCAGTGACGTTTATATAGGTCAACACAACAGTGACGTTTATATAGGTCAACACAACTGTGACATTTATATAGGTCTACCATAGCAGTGACGTTTATGTAGGTCAAACACAGCAGTGAACTTTACATAGGTCAACACAGCGTGACGTTTATATAGGTTAACATAGTAATTGGGTTTATATAGATCAACTACAATAGTGGCGTTTATATAGGTCAACACAGAAGTGACGTTTATATAGGTCAACACAGCAGTGACGCTTATATAGGTCAAATACAGCAGTGACGTTTATATAGGTCAAACACAGCAGTGTACTTTACATAGGTCAATACAGCAGTGACGTTTATATACGGCAACCATAGCAGTGGCGTTTATATGTAGGTCAACCATAGCAGTGACGTTTATATAGACAAACCATAGCAGTGACGTTCATATATAAGTCAATCATAGCAGTGGCATTTATATAGACCAACCATAGCAGTGGCATTTATATAGGCCAACCATAGCAGTGGGCAGTGATTAATATATAGGTCAACCACAGCAGTGACCTTTATTTATAGGTCAACCATAGCAGTGGGCAGTGACGTTAATATATAGGTCAACCACAGCAGTGACCTAATATGGGGTAGTGGGTGTCACTGAAATACAACTCTTATGTATTAATTTTGTTTCTTTATTAAAATAACAATAATTTTGTATCACAGTTTCTGTCTATAGCACAATTTCTTCAAAATAAATAAGTATAAAATTTGGCTGTATCATCTGCAGTATTTAAATGCAACAAATAGTTGTTATGAATGCTGACTTGAGGACGGCATTTGAAAACTTGACAATAACTTAAACGGATTGTAAAGAGGTTTTCTAACTTTTATTGTGCATTTGGGTCACTGCTAACATTGATTTGGACCATTCCAGTTTGCATCCGAAAGTCTTGTCTTGCAATTTCCACTTAATCTTAATATACACATAAAAAGTTTAGAAAACCTCTTTTCAATTCCTTTCACTATTATTATTATCCTGAGCAACGTTTTTCAGTGAGATCACAAAGAAATATTTATGTTTTGCTTGTTGTACTTTTATCAACTTATAGACTGAAGTCACTCAGATTATTGATCTGTCTTATTGATTTATTAATAATCATTCAAATATAACTGGTATGACTTTAATAACAAATTTAATAACAATTTTAATATTAACAAGCTCACACCTGTTGTTAATAAAGGTTTAAATTGATTTAGAATGAAAGCAAGTCTTGTTAAAAATTTCCTAACAATAGATATAATTATAATGTGTCCACCCATGTTGTATTTTGGTGAAATGCCATTTACATACAGGATTGATATTTTTTAAGGTGACAAATTTTTCCAGATAAAAATAGGTACTCATTATATTCACAATTATACAGTTCATAGATTTGAAATTATATATGCCAAATATCCAAATATGCCAAAATATAATGGAATGAAAAGAATGAGATTCTTGAAGTGTTATATTTAGGCATATTTTGCTCTTTCATTAGCAAGAGCCAGGCGTCTGATATTTCCAATACAACCAGCTGCAGCTTCTTGTAAATCTTCATCTTGAGATCCCACCATCTTCATTAATGGCTGAAATAAACAAAAAATAATCATTTATTTTTACAATAATAATCATTTTATATTTAACAGATAAAAAATAATTTGAATGTATAAAAATATATAGTAATTGTAAACATACAAATAACAATCGTTTGTATTATACAAATAATAATCATTTATATTATACAAATCATAATCATTTATATTTTACAAATAATAATCATTTATATTATACAAATCATAATCATTCATATTTTACAAATAATCATTTGTATTATACAAATAATCATTTATATTATACAAATCATAATCATTTATATTTTACAAATAATCATTTTTATTTTACAAATAATAATCATTTATATTATACAAATCTTAATCATTTATATTTTACATATAATCACTTGTATTATACAAATAATAATCATTTTTATCATACAAATCATAATCATTTATATTTTACAAATAATCATTTGTATTTTACAAATAATCATTTGTATTATACAAATTATAATCATTTACATGTAAATCATATACAATTATAATATTTGTCAATTGAGATGTCCTATGTAATTCAAGTTTCTATGTTTTTTCTTGGGTTAAAATTGTTAAAATTGATAGTAAAAATGACAAATATTAATATAAAACTAATAACAAAATACAATAATCTATTGTTATATTACTTATATTAGTCAGAATTACTAGACGTATTCATTTTCATCAGTACTTGACATTTTACTTATACTATCCCTTGTTACTCATTATCTTTAAAGAGACTAGGTTGTAATTTTATAATCCAATTACACTGTATTAAAAGGTTAAGTGGTGTCATTCATTTAATTGTCAATCTGTTATATTCAATTATTATTTAATTCATTTTTAAACCATGCTACCTTAACAATAAAAATATGTTCACTTTATCCAAATAGTTTAGTATGTGGTGCTGATTTTTAGCCATAGGAGAAGGGTTGTCCATACTCATCATCTAGTGATGGCTGGTTTAATATTTATGTCTGATCAAGAATACTTATTACCTTAGTCCCAAATACAAGGCTACTTCAGTGAAACACGATAGGAATATGTAATGTTTGGCTATGTATGTAATAAGGCTATAATTACATCCATTATCACTAATTATAATCCTGTCATTTCAAATGATAAATATCATGTGGTTTAATTATTTCTAATGCTGAATATATAATATTAATATAGGCTATAAAAATCGGTTAGGGCAGTGTATTAGTTGCCTAATTTCTTGGGCACTGAGTGACTTTTTACTTATTTAACTAACTCAAACCCTCAGTGTGGCCAATTCTTCCATCTGGAATTCTGCCCCCTATTTGTAAACTCCCTCAGTTCCAGGAAACAGGTCCGCCACTGGTGGCATCAGCTGTGTTGGTAGAAAGTATAGAAATGCACATGCTCTTACCTGTACAACGCCTGCTTCATGCATGGTGATACAATTTTCAGGATTTTTAGAGAGTTGGAACAGTGCCCTGGCTGTAGATCTATGGACATTTTCATCACTAGATTTTAAGTATTTGACCAATGGTGCTACAGCATCTTCTCGACCAAACGCTGTCCTATTGTTACCCCAGTTACAACATCTTGAAATGGCTTCTGCTAGATGTCTTCTTAATTTATCATCAGTCTGTAACGTAGAAGAGAACATGTCTGTAATGTATACTAGGACATAAATTGTGATATATCTGTAATACATAATAGGACTTAATTATGACATGTCTGTAATGTATAATAGGACATTCATTATGGTATATCTGTGATATAGAATAGGACTTAAATATGACATGTCTGTAATGTATAATAAGACATTGATTATGAAATATCTGTAATGTATAATAGGACATTCATTATGACTTGTCTATAATATAGAATAAGACATTCATTATGACATGTCTATAATATAGAATAAGACATTCATTATGAAGTGTCTAATGTATAATAGGGCATTTATTATGACATGTCCATAATATAGAATAAGACATTCATTATGAAGTGTCTGTAAGGTATAATAGGGCATTCATTATGACATGTCTGTAATGTATAATAGGGCATTCATTATGACATGTCTATAGAATAAGACATTCATTATGAAGTGTCTGTAATGTATAATAGGGCATTTATTATGACATGTCTATAATATAGAATAAGACATTCATTATGAAGTGTCTGTAAGGTATAATAGGGAATGCATTATGACTTGTCTATAATATAGAATAAGACATTCCTTATAAAGTGTCTATAATGTATAATAGGGCATTCATTATGACATGTCTATAATATAGAATAAGACATTCAGTATGAAGTGTCTAATAGAGAAAGAACATTCATTATGACATGTCTAATATAGAATATTATTCATTCAACAGAACAAAATTTAAAGAAGAGTCTTGTCAGATCATGGATGAAAAGTGTAGCAACCTGCAGAAAAAACGAAACATACAGGTAAGCATTTTAATAAAATTGTGAAAGCTGACTCGGAGACCAAGTAAACAAATTGATCATAGGTTATATATAGGTTATATGGAAAGCTAAATAAATATGTGATATCAATATTAAATTATAAATGTAAATATTAAGTACAAATTATATCTAAATCAGAATTACAATCTAAATGAAATATTAATGATTTTATGAATAATAATTATTAAAACTAGGTTGATGATTACTAAAACCTAATAGTACTATAAATCTAGGTCTAGTGTTTTAACTTCTTGGGTAGTAAAAGGGGACTATGCACATGGGGACTATGCACAAAAAATGGTTTTGTGTTAAAATTGTTTTCCTTTTGTACATGGTTTTATCATTTTTTGTTGACATACAAAAATCATTTGTGGATTTTCATTACTTTCTATATGTAAAGTAATCCATTGTTTTTTTTACCGTGAAATTCGGTTTTAAGTCTGTGCAATAGTCTGTGTAAGATCCTGTGACATTTGGAAATTATAAAAGTACAGGCTACAAGCTGACCTCGAAAAAAATTTCCCCCATTGCATACTGCATAGCTAAATCAGTTCTCTGAAAGTTGGTGAAATAAAATGAAATGGTGTCCTTATTTTTGGCATCTTAATGGGTTAATAAAGACTGGCAATGCCAAGCAGTGTGCAATGAAGTAATCAAAATTCCATTTAATTTAATGTGGTAACTCTATACTAAACCTGAAATCTGGGCAATAATTGGAAGAAATCTTGTTTTTCCAATCAATATTTCTACAATATGATATTCATTATTTGTGCAGTCAGTTTATTACCAATATTCGTATTTATTGATATAATTAAAGGAACATTACCTCTTAGAATAAGCTTAATTTAAATTCTCAAACTTGGCCAATCAGAGTATATATTCTTTAAGTGGACTTACTTGCTGTTTTAATCAAACAGCAGAATCCATTTTGAATCCATTAAATGCATAAAACTGAGTAACTATTAAAAAAGGCTCAAAGATTTTTTAATAATTACTCATAATTTTATGGTTGACTACTTGGTTTATGATTACACAATGATTCTGTTGTATAGTTATTATACCAGGTAAGTAAGTAAGGATATATATTGTTATTGGTCAAGTTTGAGAATTTATGTTCTATCTATGAGGTAGTGTTCCTTTAATTATTAATTCTTCTTGCCACCTGTTTCCATTCTTACTCATTATAATCTCACTCTAGCACATTCCAATTGGTTTTCTTGATTAGATAGGTAGGGCCAATTAAATGAAATAAAATGGAGTTTTACATCCATTGTAGAGTGATATAGAAATACCACTGTTAAAATAATGCTCAATACATCAATTATATAGCTCCATGGAAATACAACTGTTAAAAAAATGCGCATTACATCAATTGTAGAGCTATATAGAAATATCACTGTTAAAATAGTGGTCAATACATCACTTGTAGGGCTATATAGAAATACCACTGTTAAAATAGTGCTAAATACATCAATTATAGAGCTATATAAAAACATCAAAACCTATCATAATATTAGATCTACCAGTAATTTATTGTGATAGGTTTACTGTTGTCACTCTTGAACTCTTCATCCTTTTGGATGACTCCCAGTTATATGTGTATAAGTGTTTTTGTGTAATATGCCTGGTTTATAATCAATACATGTGATACAATGTCTTCCTACACCTATGAATCCTAGTCATTTCTATGTTATTAAAACCAGATCATTTATGTAACATATGTTGTTTGTTTCTATCAGTTTTAATATTATGTTTATTAACATATTCAATGTTCTATGTTCCATTTGAATGATTTTCAATATTATTTTCTAATAATTTCCTATGTTTAAAATTATTTTGGTCTTTGAACCTTTAAATTTCAAATAGAATAGAAGTGAAGGATTTCAACACTAAATATAACTTTTGACAATGAATAAATTGAATAAATTGCTAGTCATAAACTTTAAGTTTCTTATCTAATTTCTGTCAACTTTTATTTCACTGTAACATTCAATTGACTACTTTCTTTTAGACTATAAATATTTCAAAAATACAAATCTGCCACTTTTGAAGTGTGAGATCCAAAACCATCTTCACAATATCAAGTTATGACCAACTTCATACAACTTTTAAATCAACTCCGATAGCCACCTTTCTTGTATCACCTTAATTGTGGCGATTCCATAATACCTGTAAATATAGCCAATCAGAGCCCTCTACAGAATTATAAGCCATAATGTTTACATTCTATCTAAAGAGCTCTGATTGGCTGTTGTCACTGGCATAAAATCCAATCAAATTGCTGCATTCTACGATAAAAGAACAAGTGTCTATTGTAGTCAAGGTATAAGACTAAGTTTGTAATAGCTTGATACTGAATGTGAAGATGATCTCAACAGGTTTTAGAATGTAACATTGTCTAATTTTCAAATTTTAACTCTTCTTTTAAGACTATTAACAGTGTATAAATATGTCAAAATTTCAAAATTATGAAAAATCAACACACACATACAAGATCCAAAACAGACTTCAGCTTAATAAATAATACCAACGCCTAAGAAAGTAATAGTTCAATGATAAGACAAAAACACCTGTCAATTTTCCAAGCAAACCAAACTACCGAAAAAGTTGACATATTAGTACTGAGGAATTATGGCTGTAATCATTTAAAGGAATTCTACCACTTACAATGAACATAAAATTTAAAATTGAAATTATGAAAATTGATGTTATCAGTTATCACATAAAAAGTTTAGAAAACCTCTTTACAATCTCTTTAAGATATCATTTGAACTTTGAGATGAAATATTAAAATGGGTGTGTATTTTGTGTCATCAAGTTAGAATTTACTATAAATAAAAGATTTCATGACAGAAAAGTTTCATTATATTGTATGACTGAAGGCAGATATAGAATTAATGTACTCTAAATATAGGGCAGGGTGGGGCATTTCAAAAGTATTATCATAATAGGAGAGTCAATGACATGTACCATTCATAAATTTTCACATCAAAAATTAATTAGCAAGGTAAGGTAACATACACTAATGTTGTTGCTTTTCTTTGAAAATGAAAATTCAGTGCCTAGGGCTGAGTTATATATAAAATTTTTCTGCTCTAAATTTATGAAGACAAAGTCAGTGCCATGCAGTGTGCAATGAGAGAAATTTTGCCAGGACAGTAACATTAGTATACTCAATGATTTCTAACTGTTCCCCTAGCACACAGGGCCTCAGTTTCTTGTCCCATCTGAATGATTAGTTACCCCTAGGACCTGCATCACTGAAAAGGGGGACAGAGTAAAAAAGGATGAATGAAAGAATGAATGAATGGACCAGGATATCAAAATAATAGATAGTACACCCTATGTGACTGTTTAAATATTTAACTAGTAGATTCTCTATTACATTATATTTGATGTATCTATTCATTTAAAATGGGATTTCCTGGTATGACTAATATTAATTTCAAGCAAGTTCATCAGTCCTTACCCTATAGATTCAAGTCGTCAAACATATATATTCTCATCTGTTCATGCAAAAACACATAAAAGACAAAAGGATAATGTTTAATGCAAAGATCATTTCACAATAGTTTTTCGTAATGCGGAAATGTTGCAAAAACACAAATACTAACACTTCTACTAGACTGAATTTAGAATTCTGTTATTCTGTTCTTACTTTTACTAGTAGACATTGTATTCTAATTTTGATAAGGGATATGGTTGGCTGAAATTAAATTCTATCAACTGAACAGGTACAAATACTATTTCCCTTTAAATTGTTATAAAATTACCTTCAAAATTCCTTTAGATCTAAGAGATTCAGCAAGCGATATTATGATAAGAGTTGTATATTTTCATTCACTTAGTAACAAAGGTTTGCCTTTCATATCTAAAGGGGTGGTAAAGAGTTTTCTAGCTGTTCTATATGTATTAGGGCAATTACAGTAATGCTTAACTCTATATGAGTTAATATACAAAGGCCTTTATGATAGTGATGTCATAACAAGTTTAGATTTAGGGAAATTGCAAGACGTCTGAAAATTGGAATGGTGCCAATTGATCCTATCATTATCCCCCATACACATACAAAATTTAGAAAACCTCTTTACAATCCCTTTAAATTTGTTAATATTCAAATAGATTGTGACATACTAGTGATTCATTGTATTGAAATAGTATACTGTATTTTATAATTGCACAATATTTCATTATTTACTTTACTAACCTAAATAAATACAGTTAATAATATTTCATATCATTGGTTTAAAGATATAGGATCTTTCAAATTTTGCAATATTCAGAATTATTTCCACAGTACTTTTAAATGAGTGAATCTTTTCTGTTTGAATATAATCAAGTAGTTTGACCTTAAAAGGTTAAACAGCTTTCTAAAATTTCTATTAAAGGGAGTGGTATTCATCAAATTTTCAATAAAGTAGGCCTACACCATATACTACTATAGCAACACATTTTTTTCATGTTAGGGTTAGGTTTATCTGCCTCACTGACAGTGGAAAAGCAACAATTTATAAAGGTGCTTGTACCATATAATTGATAGTGCGAAAATCCCACTTCTACCCTTAAGTAAACCTGGAAAAATCTGTGTCTGAACTAGATGCCTTTTCCATGTCAGTTCACCTTTAACCTCCTTAGCTGACCATGGTAAAGCAACCTTTCATATACTATATAATTGTGAATATAATGCACACCTTCTTACCCTTGAGTAAATCTGAAAAAAACTGCAATTCAAATGTAATTGAAGAATATAAAGTTACTTACAGTATTTGTTAATTTGGCTAACATGGGAACAACACCATGATCTGTTATAACAGCTAAATTTTCCTCATCTTTAGCAATATTAGCTATAGCTGCACATACACTAGCTAATACTTCTTTATCTTCAGACTTTAATAGACTGACTATTAATTCTAAACCACCCACAAACGATCTTACCATTTCACCAGCATCCTGTAATGGTAAAAATATTTTGGAAATTTGTGATAAGATGGTTGAAATGAACAAGAGATAGTCTCCATTAATAGATACAATAGAAATTACTAGAAGAGAATAGACTGGGTTCAGAGTCCGTTGTAGGGTGTTTGATTATTGATACCATATAAAATAGTAGAAGCGAATCTTGTCTGCTTTTTTTTGTGGAATTGCAGTAACCACAGACATCTGATTGAAAATTTTAATGTTGCAAATTGATGCTTTCAGTGTCACCAATTCACAAAAAAAGGTCTGAAAACCTCTTTACAATCCCTTTAAACATGCAATGATTCCATCCATATAACACAAATTACCAACCTTTGCATTTTCAATACAAGGACAGATAGCCCAGGCAGCACTGGCTTGTACTTCGGGATTTTGATTTTTTAATAAAGACCACAATAACCTTACTCCATCTAATTTATCAATTATACTGAAACAACAAAACAAGTCAATCAAGATACAAGTTAACATCTTGCTTTTCTGCACTTGATTAGGCTAATGAAAAAAGCAACACCATGCAGTATGCAATGAGGACAGCAGCATTAACCTGAAGGATGTGTATGTGCACAACCTGTAGTACAAAGGGTCTTAGTTTATTTTCTAATGGAAACTACTTATTGCTTTTTCCCCGACCTGCATCACTAACAGGGAGAAACAGGGTTTAGGATTATTTGAAGAAATTCTGAAATTTTAAGGTTATTGGCTCTTTAATCATAGTCGGAGCCATGTTCCTTTGACAACAGTGTACAACGTTTATCACATCTAACCATTGCTGCCACAAAACAATATTTTCATCCTTAGAGACCATTCAATTTCTCCAATCATATGCTCAAGGTTATATTAATTGGAGTTCAGGTTGTATGATATGTTATTTTGTTTACACTAAGTTGACTTACATCATGTTGTCTGGTTCTTCAGCACATTTTCCTACTGCTCTAGTTACATTGACTAATAAAGCTTGATTGGTACCAGTCAGTAAATTAACTAGTGGAGAGATACCGCCAGCTTTACGAATCTGCATTCTGTTTGGTGGAGCCTTGGCTAATTCACCTAGAGCTCCGACAACATTAACTAAAACCTGTAAAATATTTATGAAATTTTCAAATCAAACTCTGTTCAACTGAACAAAAGATCACGAACAATGGTGAACATGACTGAACATGGAAAATGTTTAAAATAAAAAACAATTTTGAACACAATGAACAAAACTTGAACAATGAACATTTGAACACAATTTACATTACTGAACATAATTAAAGGTAATTGTTAAGTAATTGGTAAGTGTGAACACTTGAACATAATGAACATTGAGTAAACAGAATCATTCTCCCACCTCTTCTGGTTGGTTGTTTAACAATGTGACTAACTGATCTATAGCTTTTAATTCTTCAAATCTCTGTACATTTTCAGGACTAATGGCACATTTCCAAATGGCGCCAGTGGCAGCTGCTAATAATTCCTTATTTTCAATATTGGTAAGTAATGTGACTAGAGGGTCCAGTCCACCATATTGTCTGACTAAATCTCGTGTTTCTTTCTCTTCAGCACACTGTTAAATAGAAAAGGCAAATTTCAAGAAATGAAACAAATAAGGATAGAACTAAGGTTACCAACCAGCTGGTGCTTGTGGTAATAATGATTTTACAAGCTTAACAACTGAAGTCTTCAAGGATAATGTCAACCAGCTGGTTCTTGTCAAACCTCTTGACTTTACAAGCTTAACTGAGGTCTTTAAGGGTCCTGTCAACCAGCTGGTCCTTGTCAAACCTCTTGATTTTACAAGCTTAACAACTGAGGTCTTCAAGGATCCTGTCAACCAGCTGGGTCTTGGCCATACCTCTTAACATCACTTATTCGTGGTCATTGGACTTTCACATGCCGACTGAGATTAGATCCCAAGACCACCATTTGTTTGACGTACCAAGCAAACACTCTAACTGACTGAGCTGCAGTCCATCCTCAAGTCTCATTATTAAGACTAAATTATATATGGTTATATTGCCTTATTTAAAATCATTCACAAACCTTGAATATAGCTGAAGCACAATGCATCTGTAATTCTTGATTGGAACTTTTGAGATTCTGAACCAAGTCTTCTATCATTCCTTCAGTTCTAATGGCTAATCTATAACTTGGCTGTAAACATAAAATATTATTCCATTTTGTATGCAATAAGAGAAAACTTGCAAGGACATTGGCATCAGCTTACTCTTTTTCAAAATCCAGGTATACACAGGACCTCAGTCTATTGTTCCATCCATATACAGCTAGACTCATTTTTCATCTTGCCCCTTCTTCCTACCTGCATCACTGACAGGAAAAGCTAGGTAGAAGGATCCAAAGGTATTACTTTGACCTGTGATTGGAATGACATAGGATGTTTTGTACTTTGTCAAAGTCTCTGCAAGCATCTCGAACATCCAGGATCGAATTTACAATAACTTTTAAATTTTCTTACCTCTGAGGCACATTCTTGAAGAGTTCCGACCACAGGTATTAACATGTCTTCGTGTGTAGATTTTAATAATTTAGCTAATAATGGTATGGATCCAGCTTTCCTCATAGCTTCCTTGTTCTTCTTGCTTTTACTGCAACTCCAAAGAGCTAGAGCACCACATCTTGCTACTTCTACATCTTTCTCCATGTCTGGTTTGTTTAATCCAGCACAATCTAAGAGACTGACCTACAAGCAATTGTAGATGTAATTTGATCAAACATAGGATAATATCATCCACAAAAGATGGAGATCCTTCAAGATCAGATCACTGCAAGAACGATGATATAGGCCTCTGTAAGTCAATCTTGAATATAGCATCCATTATCAACAATTTTTTTTGGTGATCAAAATCATCATACTATAACATAACACACAGAACTTACCAATCTTTTGATGCCGCCATGTTGCCTGACAGTTCTACGAGCACGTCGGAATTTAGCTACATTGGCAATAGTTTCAGCAGCAAGACATTTTAAATCTTTATTTGTATCACGTAAAATCTTAACCATTGTTTGTAAACCCCCTAAATCAGCGATTGCTCGTCGGATCTGAGTATTCTTGGAAATCTCTTTTAATATCTTTAAAGCACCGATCTGAAATAAATCCCTTTTTTGAAACAATTTCTCAAATTTGATTATGATATCTTAATGGCTTTGGTTGATCAAGTTTAAAAAATTAAATACAGAATTGCAGGCTTAAGAACACTTTGTAGCTGATAGATCAGAGTTGGAAACATTTAATATTGCATTCATATTGTCGAAAAAGTGTATTGACCTTGCATTTGACTTCCTCTGTATCCAATAAATTAATTAAAACTTCCAGTCCGCCCACGTCTCTGATAGCCAGTTGACATGTTTCTAACGATAGATTAAAATCACGTAATGAACATAGAGCAATAATAGTAGCAGTCTGATTGCCTCCCTGAAATATACAATCAAATAACATTTAACAGTTAGTGGACAAATTGTTTTCAATTGAACAGTTGAAGGGAGATAACTCTTTCTTTCTTGTGGTTCTTCAGTTTATGAAACCTTCAAGGGTACAATACAACATCAAAATGACTGTAAGGAAATTAGGTAGCTGTAATCAGTCAAAGGGCAGGTCCTGACATCAAATGTTTTATATGAAAGATGATACAATTTTGGGTTGCTAGTTTCATGAGAATTTTCACCATGGCAAAAGCCAAGTTAGATAGACGTCTGCTATCTCAGTTTGTAACAAGTTAGACCAACGTCTGCTATCACAGTTTGTAGCAAGTTTTAAAGATGTCTGCTATCACAGTTTGTAGCAAGTTACATCAACATCTGCTATACAATAAGGTGTTCTAGGTTGAAATCTCTTCAGGGTTAGACATGTCAAGTCCTATTACTTACCTTTAAATATTTGACAAGTTTTTGTATTTGCCAGTATTCAGATGGTAAGTCAGCATTAGCTTCTGCTCTTCTTTCTACAGCTTCCTCTTCTTCTTCACTCTCTGTTTCACTCTCACTGAATGGCTCTTCCTTATCAATTGGTGTTTTAGATTTATATTTCTGAACTGGTCTTTTCTTTTTCTCTGTTTTAGTGATAGACTTATCCTCTCTGAAATTAGAAAAAGTGATTAACACCTTTACCCTTCAAACAGCAGTGTAGACGAAACAAAATGTTCTGTAATCCGAATTCCAAAATATAAAAGAGTATAACGTAAACATCATGTGATGTCATTTGTTTACGGATGCTTTACTGCCAGCTCAGGTATATATTGTGTAAATATGTGTTCTAGTAAACTGATCATTAGGGTTGGAATGGTTAACACTGAGTTGGGAATAAAACATCATATACTCTGAACTCCAAGTAATTTGGTAACAGCTGCTTCACCATCCACTAGGGTATATATATATCATGTAATTATGTGACCGGTTGGGCTAGTGTTGAATGAGTTAGAGAAAGGTTGTAGTGGGCAATGAGGACAATTTGAGCCATAACTAAATTTTGCATCATATTTGTCTTCTATAAAATGATAAAAAAATTTTATGCATTTCATTAACGCTATTGCATAAAGCCTCTTTATAATTTTAGCAGATTTGAAATAGTGACAACAAGCATCTAATACTTCTAAGCAATTCTAAAATTAAAGGAACCACAGACATCTGACAGAAATTGGAATGATGCAAATAGAAGCCATTAAAGTTTACAAAACCTCTTTACAATCCCTTTAATTTAATTGACTAAAACTTACTCTTGTATTTTATTGTCATCAACACCCAAAACTTTCCATTTTAAAGATGGCTCTAATTTCTTCTTGGATTGAGTTCTATTTTTCTGATTTTTATCTTTATCAGAATCTTGATCATTTTCATTCCTGGTATTTTGTTCGTATGAATTCTTTTTCTTCTGATAATCTTCATTCTGTTCGGTTTGTTCAGACATTTCTATCTTCTTTTTGTCGTTCTGTTCAACTTTTAATGTGAATTCCTGCAAGATAAACAGTCGGCGTTTTTTTTATTATAGAAAATAAGCTTATTGATAAAACTTAACAGAAGGTAACTGACAGTTGTGTTCTGTGGTCAATTAACTCATTTAACATTCTACTGCTTCTTTTTAACCTTAAAGTCCAGTTTACACTTACTATCTCTGATGTCTTTACTTACATAATGAATATTAGCATTTAAAAATAAAGTTATATACATTCATTCACTAGACATTTCTTTTACCATTCAGTATATAATACTGGTACATAGTAGCATAGAAATATATAATTATAACCTTGTCATTGCTGAACTTAAAATAATTCCTTAGTTTTATGAAAAAAGTGAAAACCTTAAGAATACCTTGTACAAGCTTCTCTGGTATAGATAGATAGTCCACTGAGCTCAGACAATGCTATGACGTCATAAAATCTATTATGATGTCATCACATAGCAAGACAGATATTAATAGTAACATAAAGGTATACTACCTCTAATCAACATAAACCCTAAATTCTCAAACTTTGCGAATCAAAGTATATATTCATCAATGGACTTGCTTGGTGTATGATTTTGGACTCACAAAGGTTAACGTTCAGTTTTAATAATTAGCCCTTGATCCACTGAAGGGACATTTCCCCAAAATCTAAGTTCTGTGTATAAACTAGTTGTTTTTATCTTACCTGTTGATCTATAAGCTCTGCAAATTTGGAACTATTATCTTTCAACAATGAAACTAGATCTCTGTAGGTTGTGCTATCTGGTCTAGTATAGTCCAACTGGGTCGGTTTCTCTGGATCAGGACCCTGAAAATAGCATATGTTTTGATATACAATAATATATTAGAATAAGTAAACTTTGACAATGCATAGTGATCATTCCAAAAAAATGTGTTTGTCATATTTATTTATCTATTTATTAATTTTTTTTTTTCATATTTATCTATTTTTTTTTATCAAATTATTTTTTTTATTTAAATTGTTTTATTAATTTTTTAAATTATAAGAAATCTTAATATTTCTTTACTGCAAATTATATGAGAAGGTTTATTTACTTGTTTATTTATTTATTTACTTGTTTATTTATTTATTTATTTACTTGTTTACTTATTTACTTGTTTACTTGTTTATTTATTTACTTGTTTATTTATTTATTTACTTGTTTATTTATTTATTTATTTATTCTATATTATTGTGAATAATTTACAATCATATAATTTTAATTGTTTTCCCCTTTTTGGGAATTTGTATATATTTATTAGAAAATCTTAATCTTACTGTATATCATATGGGAAGACAAAATTTATTTATTCTTAACACAATTTATTTATATATTACATGATCCACAACATTTTCTTTGTAGACCTAAATTAACATGTTTTGATAAAAAATTTGAAAATTGAAAACAAAGAAAAACTTTTAGTGTGGCCTACCTTAATGAATTTAAAATAAATGAAACGATGTTATGACATCATAACAATTAGTGAATTATGACGTCATAATGCCAATTGGCCAAGTCCATTGATAATCATTAATTAATTCTAATTTTTTTTTTAATTATCAAACATCCGAGATCAATTGGTTTATGATTTTGATCAAATTATTATCTCCAAAAAATAAAAAAATCAACCCAAATTAATTGAAAGCAACTTGGTTTGGTGTATTTTCTGCTAGTCACTCCACTTGTCACCCACAAATTTATACAATGAAAATATTAACGGCTCCTCCCAAATAAATTAAATGTAAAGCAAAACATACAATATGAAGTGATCTCCTGACAACAACCAACTTCCAACTGTAGCAAAAGCAATACAAAGTTCCATGCAATACCAAATTACCAACTACAGTAAACACTATGAATAAATTATCTATTGTCTATAGTCTCTTAGTGTTAAAGGAATGCTACTTCTTGGAATGGACATAAAATATAAATTCTCAAACAAGTGTATATATTCATTAGTTTGACTTACCAGGTGATATGAATAAAGAAAAAATTCTCTTTATAGGTTACTCCTCTAAGCATGTTTTAAAATTACTTAGTTTAATGAATTATTTCTTAGTTTTATGTAATTATTGTATTAAAGCGGGATTCTGTTGAAGAGTTATGAAACCAGGTAAATCCACTGATGAACGAAGGCTGATTTTGGCTTTAAAATTTTTTTAGATTTTTAGGTCATCCTAAGAGGCAGTATACCTTTAAAAAACTACACACCTCATTTGAATAATTAAAAACTATTTTCATTGATAATAGATTAAATCAACAATTCTAGACTAGCAAATAAATTATTTAGGTTATATTTGAAGGAATTCCAATGGTTTTATGAATACAAAGACTATTAAATATTTTAGCAGTTTTTATTATTGTGATGTCATAAAATGCTTAGTTTTGCTTGAATTGCAAAGAACCTCATTTGGAATGGTGCAAATCTATGCTTAGCAACCCTGATAAAGAATAAATTTTGGAAACCAAAAGTGTGTTGACCAGTTTGAAAGTCACATCAGTCCACTTTACAAGATTTACCTGCCACAGTAAAACATGGTACAAACATGTAAGGTTTTTTTTTTGTTTACCAGCAATATAAGGTCGATCCTCAACATCACTTTGTGATATTTATAGTTGTAGAAAAAACTCACTGTATATTTCACTGTATATTGTGTACACCCCTTCAGAGGCAAGCCAGGTTTACGACTGAAAGGGGGCGAGATATCTGAGTTTGCCCAAACCTTTAACCTAGTAATGAGATTTTTGCCCCCTCTTTGGCTCCGTCACTGCACCCCTTCTGTTTGGGTTCCTTTTTGGGGTAAAATCTGAGTTTTATACTTGCAAACATATGGTATATGACTTACGTTATTTAGGTAGTAACCACTAGTATTGGCTGTGATATATAATGGTGTGTCTTTATCGTGTGTTTTAACATAAATATAACAGATATCACCATGTAACTGTCTCCATGGCTGTGCACGGCATCCATTCTTCGATACAAACGTTTCTCCTGAAATTTCATTTAAATTCAATAATAAGAATTCATTCATAAAGAAATTGAACATAATGTATGAAAAATAGTTATGCCTAAATGTACCCCCATTTCAGTTTCAAAAATTCTAAATAAAATTGTATTGTGAAAAAATCAGTTATTTTTCTAAAATTTAATTGGGGGAAAAACCCTCCTGACACCCTATGAGAAATTTGTGCCTATCATTCTTACACAGTGCTTCTACTTTTGGAATCTCAAATCCCTGTTTATACCCCAAGTTCCAGGAAGCTGGAGCCCTCATTTCTTCGTACAAAAACTATAACCTACCATAATAGTCTATATATTCTAGAACACATTTAGTTTCATCTGATCCTGATAGTTGTTTTAATATGGTTACTTCACCATCAACAGATGCCGGGCTTAATCTTACTTCACTGTAAACAAAATTAACAACATATCAACCCTTTGAAAACTGAACCTGAACTCCAAGTAATAGGTTTTATAGAGACACATTTGACATAATCAGGGGTTGATTTGGGTCTTTTTTTCTTTTTTTTTTTTAATTATTTCATTAAAATACTATATTTTTTTTATTATCAAAATATGGCTATTTTTTTTTATTAAAATACTATTTTTGTGGTTATCAAAATATTATATTTTTTTTTTATATTAAATACAATTTTTTTGTTAATTAAAATATTATTATATTTTTTTTTATTAAAACACTATTTTTTTGTTATCAAAATATTATATTTTCTTTATATTAAAATACTATTTTTTTTTTAATTAAAACACTATTTTTTTTTCTTATCAAAATACTATTGAGTGAATATAAGAATACAATATGAAGACAATCTAAAGAACAATTGTTATTGTAAGAAATTTAACCCCTTTTATAACATATGGCAAGAGTTAAAGTAAAAATCAGGCAGAGTGTAGCCAGGGTTCCAGTACTAGAACGCTTTCATCTACAGAATTACTGGAGGAAATGACTAGAATTAGAAAATGGTGTGCCTGCAAACACTTGACATATAGTCTCTTAACCCAACATCAAATTGACTTGAGAAGAAGCTAACTAACAACAATCATTCAATGCATTTCATTATTAACACCAAGGAACAGGTCTTACGTAATACACTTTGGTTTGTTAAAAGATAATGTTATAAGAAATGGGACATCTTAAAATTAGACTATGGTAAAAACTTGTTAGATTACATAGGAGATAGAAAATCTTAATTAGATTGGACATATATGTTTAATGGACAAGTCTGTGAATTTAAATATCATTTTCATTATAAGATGTAGAATTCCAATAACATCTCACACTGAAATCCTATTTCTGTCTGGTACAGTGAGACTATACATGTTAATTATTAAAATTTGGTACCTAAACTTTGTCCCAAGGAAAGTTACTTGTAGATTGAATAAGAGAAAATATAAACAATTTCCTATGTTTTATGTTTGTGTGTTGATGGAAATGTTTTGTATTCCGTACAACTGGGAAGATACAGTTACTTATTTTCTTGTATAATTATTATCATAGGGCCCTTTATTTTTTTAAAGGTTGAAACATATACTTTTTTTTAATATGAATATATTTTTGATTAATATTTTTCCACGTGAAATAATTTCAGAGACTCAAATATATAATAGCTGCTTGAGGAGAGATTTCAAAAAGGCTTTCTAGTCAAATTTTAATAAGCATATTCTTTTTAATGGATAGTTTTAGTGAGTTTGCAAGAACCATAGACATCCACCTGAAATTTGGAATGGTACAAATTGGTGCTATCAATGTCCAAAATTAAGAAATCATCTTTTCAATCCATTTCATTTCATAAAATAAGACCCCTGGTATTTTCTGTTTGATAATAACCTTCAAACAAAAGAAAACAAGGAAAAAAACTAAAAGACTTAAATCATTTCAAGTTTCGATCACCATGCAGCCATTTTGCAGGTGCATAATGCTTTGTAACTGATATTTGTCATAACATGTATCCAACTTTATCAAGAGTATATTTCTTACAAAATTTATAAAATTCCAATCGCTACATTACAGTCATAGTTTAGACCCACGTTAAAGCGTATCAGTTTCTGTTTGCTACACAACTAAATTCTCAGTGATGGGTATCTTCACAATGTCAAGCTATAACGAACTTCGTCTTATACCTTGACTTCAATAGCCACCTTTCTTGTGTCAGAAAAGCGATTTGATTGTAATGTACACTGGCCAATACAGCCAATCAGAACCTTTGAAAGAAAGGCTGTAAACACTATGTCATAATGATTACAGATTTTTTGTGGTGGACACTGATTGGCTGTATTAACTAGCATGCAATCCAATCAAATAGGTGCCTTAAAGTGGTGGCTATTGCAATCAAGTACAAAGTTTGTTATACCTTGACATTGTGAAGATGGGAGATAGGTATCTTGTAGTGTTTTTTATTTATTTGGTTAAAGTCAAAAGAACGCGGTTGTGTATACATTAGGATAAAGCCAGAAATGTGGTGAATTCCAATAACATGCTAACACCAACAACGTAACGTTGCATTCGATTACAAATATTATAAACTTTTCTGTTGTTAACCTGCTGTTACTAGACATAAATATACAAACATAACAATCTAGAGTGTTCACAATAGTTTTGTGTATCTGAAAAAGGAGATACGGTGTATGATGCAGGCACCTAGTAGGCTACTAATGATCCGTTGAATAATATTTTCTAAGATGATCTGTATCCATTTACAGTTGGAATGTTCACTGGAATAATGGGGAAATATGACTTATTCAAGGTTATTATTAGAAATTAGAACGCTCAACCATCATTTGTTTGACATACTAAAGCAATTGAATTCATGTGAAGAATCCAATACTCTTAATGACCAAGCTACAGCCTGCCCTAATAGAAACTATAATTCACTTTCAATAACAAACAAAATTGTGATTTTCTCAAGAAGCTTTGTAAACAGAAATCAAAACCAGAAAGTTTCAAATATATCAAGGGTTGCTTTGGATTACAACACGCAGCAAGGAATATTACGCAAAACACTTGTCTAAATACAATGGCATATTTTGGCAATTGAAAATCGCTAAACTATTGAAAAAAGGACGTAATATAAAAAAAATGAATGATAGACAAGATTCCTTTTTGCGATGTGTTTACATCACATGTGTTCCCACTGCAGGCAGATTAAAAAAAGAAATTCCCGGGAGATTGATTGGTAATAAATACTTGGAAAGAATTTTACTTGGAGAGTTACATACTCTCAAACAAAATGGTTTAATCCAAGATATCTAAGCGTAACCTAATCCCATGACACATTTGGCACGATGTGATATCTTTGAGTACAATTCTATAGAATAGCACTCTGTCTGAGATATCGGTTGGTAGTACCCAGTACAGTCTCGTGTAATCAACTACATCAAATTGCGATGAGAATGCGATAATAAATCTCTCCATCCAAAAGTAAATAAACAGCCATATTGAATTAAATAGACCCCCCTCTAAGAAGGAATACTGCTTATTTCCTTAAGGTAAAATAATGAAGGGATGTTGAGACTCATTTTAAGATTTAAACCAATTGGATGTGTATCAGTTCTCCTTAGCAACCAGTGTATTTATAAATAAAATGCTGGGTGTCTAGTTATCAGATCATGGAAATATCTTATCATAGATTCAGCTAGATTGAAGGCTTTTGGCTGACTTTTTGCTTTGATATGATACCAAGATATCTAGGAACTTTTCGCATAAAATTAAGCAATTTTAATGTTCAAACTTAAATTTCATTTATATTGTGTTTTGAAAGAGGCCCTTAGATGTGCCTATTATTAGCAGCTCTTGCAATAGTTATATCATAAAACGCATAGATATAGTGGAATTACAAGAACCACAAGATATCTGAAAATTTGAATGGTGGGAAATTATGCTATCACTGTCCACGATACACATAAAAAGTTTAGAAAACCTCTTTACAATCTCTTTACAAAGTCTGAAATAAAGTTGCCATTTTTGTTCAGATTTGTTCAGTACATTCAAATAACCTAACAACACCAACCTTGACATTTTCTGGATGCTCATATTCATTAACTGTTCATCAAGGCGTAGTAATTTCAATCTCAATCGGAGGACTATTTTCTTTTCCTCCACTTCTGCAGATTTGGAACCTTCTGCAGTTTGTTCTTGTTTGGCATTTTGTTCGATTTCTTTGGTAATTTCTTCAATATATCTAAATATGGAGTTGTCGTCTGTTTCAACTGTAGCAAATCTCTCTCCAAGCATATTTACTACTGGATCTCTATTGGCTGAAAAACATGGAAAGGTCTTAACCCTTTGAAAACTGAATTCCAAATAACCCGTTAGAGCCGTTGCTTTTGTGAAACGGTTTACCATATTGGGGAAAGAAATAATAAATATTCATCATGTCACAATCCAGTCAGACAATCTTGTACATATCCCTTTTTACATTTGTTTTGTAAATATGAACACACACAAAACTTGTGAATACTTCATGAGTATAAGCAACCCAAATTTTGTACCAATGATCTACATCTGACACCTTTCATCTTTCTATTGAACTCTTCCGCACATGCATCTTTGTCTATCAATGTATATGTCTTATTGGAACAGCTCATTTGTCGACTCAGGGGTGTATCATGTTAGCTGTCAAATAAAATACAGCCTTTGCAATGAACAGCCATGCACCCTACCTTCTAAACAGCCTCTTAGTTCCACCATTTTCTTATCTCCAGCAATTCTTAGCACTTGTTCAGCATAACCTAACGTAGATATGTTCACTTCGTATTTGTCTTTGGCGAGTTTGTGTAACTTTAATAATGGTGTGTCATCTTTACTCGATTTATTATCTGATATGACATCATCACCACTGAAATATCGAATTATATGAAATTTGACTGTAAAATACAACACAGTACTGCCATGAAATGAAATGGAATTTTACTGTTAAATACAACATACAACATCAATGAAATTGTTGAAAGTTGTATGTCCTCTTTTAATGCACCTGTTTGGGCTAATTAGGGAAAGCAATGCTATGCAGTGTGCAATGAGGTAAATTTATCCAATTTAGACCTACTCTTTTTCGATTATCACGGGATCTGTGCAGTCTGCAGCGAAAAGGGAACTATCATGTGACCTTTGAACTATCATGTGAACTTTGAACTATCATATGTACTTCGATATATTATATGAATTTCAAAATATTACCTATCAGAAAATCCAGAGCCTTGAAAATGTTGTGGATTTAAAGATGTTTGCCATTTTAATGGAGTCTTAAAAGTCAGGCTAGCTTCTTCTGTGGATTTTCCTGTTGTTTCAACAAATTTCAAAATGGCGTTGAGAAGATCTTCATTAATGGAGGTAAATTCCAGTTTTCCTCCTGCTCCATCTTTTGCAGACGTCCACTGAGCTGCTCTTTGTAATGCTTGACCCATTTTACTGTGTTATCTAAAAACAGTTTGAGGACGAATTTTAGTACCGGTAGGCTACAGTAGTAAACACTTGAATTTAAATGTGTTAAGTTTAGATTCTTGTTTACCATTCAATGAAATACGAAAGTGTATGAATTTGGTACATCTGCTTCTAAAAAGACCACTTTATTCTAAGATAGTTGAAGTAATAATGAATATATAATAGTGCAAGTCTGGCTTTTAGCTTAGCCATTCAAGTTCAAGAAAAGTTCAACTATGCCTACTTTCCGCCTAGGCCTACAATGAATTCAGAATTGATTTTTTTTAAAATATTTCAATTAATATTCAAAATACTTTTTGTCTTAAATTAAAATGTCTTTGAGTCCGGCATAAGTATTGAAATATGTAATTTGTAAGGTAAAGTTTATAATTTTTCATTTTAAATCAACACACTTCTCTCACAAATTTTCCTGTGTAAGTTTATATTCATATTCCTAAATAATGTTGAATTACAATTTCATTAACCCAAAGACAATCTAACAGTCTCAGTGATATTATAGAGTTGATATTTCAATTAATACAATGATTTTCCAAAATGCTATCTCTGTAAATGTAGGCCTTATGGTTGTCGGATTGTGGTCTGACAGTAGCCTTGACAATCTTTAAAAAGTAATCTGGGATAACAAGTGCAACCATAGCATCTTATGTTTATATATGACATCAACTTACTTATTTTCCGTTAATGTTTCCAGTATTTTGGGTTCATCAGTTGAAAATTTACCGCTAATTGAGAAAAATATAAACAAGCACCTTGCTAAATTGTTTACAGTCGGCAACCGTTGCTAAGTCAGCGCGTATGGCGATTAAGACTCTTTTTGATCTTTAATTTGTTTATAATTGAAGATCACGTGAAGGGAAGTAATTCATGTAAAGATATTTTTGTACTTCAAGACCACCACTCTTTTATTATGTGATTCACAAGGCTTTGCACTACTGATAATATTGTATATAAATAAATGGAAATAAATAAAGTCCCGGAGATGGATGTGTTGACCTCGCCGATAGAATTAGATGTCGAGTCATAGATTGGCACTGTGGCAAGTCCGCGCGAGTAAAAAAACAGAAAGATTTCACACACAGCCCTAAATTAGCCGAATGTGCGAACGCTCGCACCAGGTTACGCAAATAAAATTTGAATAATCTCCCAAAAAAGTTAAATAAAATATTTAATATTTTGCGTTACCACTAAATATGCGTTTTATCTTCTCACTTAAAGGAGCATTTTTTAGCAGAAAAAAATGTTTATTACCATTTCTATAGATATCAATGTTCCAGTTGAAACCATTATTCTTCTTATATCTTCAGATACTGAACAATATGGATTTTCATTTCATATATTGAAATTATATTATATTATTCACACTAACTGCACAAACAATATTCTCTCAATAGAGGTTCACCCTGCATTCCTGTGCCTGTGCTTTCGTAACATTAGCCTACTTAACCACAATGTTACAATCTAAAATTCCAAATGATCGATAAGAGCAGTAAGCTGACTCGGCTTGCCTGAAGAGCCCCATTCCTGTTGACTACCCAGACTAAGCAATCTACCTTTGACACGGTAAAAGGGTTAACAAATATTTTAGAACAGTGATTGTCATTTTTTAGGGATTAAAATTAGCTCCACCCCCTCCTCTCCATTACCCATGGTCCTGGTATATATAACATATATATATGTAACATAAGAGATTCATGTTGTTAACATGGCCAAATTAGCCTACTATGGTGTAAAATAAATTATCAATACTTCTCTGTATATAGTTGTCATGAAGGGACCTACTGGAAATAAGATTTTTTTGTACTTTGTTATACCTGACAAAGGTTCTTATTATCATTATGATAACTACTCTACTTCATTATAGGATTTTAAACTTGAGAGACCCACATGTACCTTAAATAGCGTAGAAGCAGCTATAATTGTGTAAGCTCCTCTTCAGCTCAGTGTAATTGGGTCTTAAGTAACAATGGACTGAAGAAGGATTAAATTGAGTATGATTTGTGCATATTTGTGGTTCAGAATACCAATTTTTACTCCCAAAAATTGTCGGTTTGAAATTGCAATTTATATGTGTTGATTCCTTACTTCTGTATTTTGACAAATCTGATTACTATTAGATTAAATTTTCAATTCTTTTCGTTTTTCCCTATTCTTTTCGTCTACATTGTAATCTAGCAAGGTTTCTAAAAGTCTCGCTCTTTTGATGATTTTCAATGTCCCTTTATTAGAACAGGGCTATGGTAGAAAACATGTTTGATTACTATACAGACGAAACTTATCAGAAAAAAGACAAGAAACTGTAATCTTATTCTAATTAGAATGTATTTTAACTTACTGTTGTATATGAGTTGTAATTTAGAAACGTCTTTGTTAAAAGTTATGAATGTTATCTTTTAGAATATTTGTTCTCTGGGTATATATATATATAAGGTAACTGTTCCTCAGACCTCAGGGGCTGTGTCACAGCTTCATAAAAAACAGGAATATGACTAAGTTACTTGATAACGCTGCCTGTATGAGCATGTGAAACGTTGAGTTAAATTTTAGAAATAGCATATTCCATATATTTTGTGTTTCTTTATGATGAAGTTCTATCTCCGAATAATAATAAAATATATTAATTTTTGTTTTATTGAAGTGTGTTTTATCCATTTAGTCTTTAGATCTATTGTATCATTCAAATGACTAGACACTTTCGCCTCTCCGACCTGCAGCACTGACAGAGAAATCAGGTTGAAATTTCAAGGATATTATCTCAAGTTATACCGGAACAGTCCGATTCGAACTAAAAAAAAAACAAAACAAAAAAAAAAAAAAAAAAAAAAAACAAATAAAACAAAACAAAGAATTTTTGATTTTATTATCAATGATTTTAAAAAGCTCTACTCTTTTCTGGGTTTTTGAAATAGCTTACAAATGAACGAAAATCACACTATACCCGATACACATATTGCCCCTCGGACAAACCCAATACATACACAATGTCCATTGGTCTAAGGCAATCACACACAGCCCCTTGGTCTAAACCAAAACACACATGTTGCCCCTTTAGTATATTCCCATACAAGCATATTGTCCCTTGGTCTAATCCAATGCACATATATTACCCCTCGGTATATTCCAATACAAATATATTTCCCCTTGTCTATTCCAATAAAAACACACTTCCCCTTAGTCTATTCCAATACAAACATTGCCGCTAGGTCTATTCCAATTCAACCATACTACGCCTTGGTTTATTCCAATACAAACACATTTCCCAATACAAAAACGGTGCCCCTTAATCTATTCTAATAAAAACAATTTTCCTCTTAGTCTATTCCAATACACACACATTGCCCCCGTGGTCTAATAGAAACACATTTCCCGTTGGTCTATTCCAGTAAGCACATTTCCCGTTGGTCTATTCCAGTAAGCACATTTCCCGTTGGTCTATTCCAGTAAGCACATTTCCCCTTGGTCTATTCCAGTAAGCACATTTCCCCTTGGTCTATTCCAGTAAGCATATTGCCAATTGTTCCTTGTTCTATTCCAATACACACCCGTTGCCCCTTGGTCTATTCCAATACAAAAACATTGCCCCTTGATCTACTCCAGTAAGCACATTGTCCCATGGTTTATTCCAATACAAACACATTGCATCTTAGTCTATTCCAATACACACACACTCCGGTCTAATCCAATGGACAGAACCAGAACTCCATTTTCTGTGTTCTGGATACAAACTGTTCAACGACTCCATATATAGCTGCAGCAAGCGCGGAGAATTATATCTGACGAGTAAGCGGATTCTCATAGTTATTTATATAGCAATTTCATTCATTTCGAAGACGAAAATAGACGGCGAAGGCAAAAATCGATACGAATGTTCTAAATTGATCGTGGTCGCCCAGATAATAAGATATCTTAAGGCCATTGTTTCCATATTTAGACTGGCAAATCAATAAACAAACGTCACGCGATTGATTTTTGGAAAGACTTCCATAGCGACTCTGGCGTCAGCGGTGACGTATAACTAAAAACATGGCGCGAACCCTAATATAATTTTACCCTTTTACGCAAGAAGCAAAGACTATATATACAAAATATCCACAAGTCAACCTATTTGTCAATTTGGGGATCAGATCTTCACATTTGATGTCCGAGTGCTACCATTCATTGAAAATGACATGAGTTAAGGATATACAATACCTAGGCCTATGTGATGCATATCATAAATGTACTAAAACCGTGCTCTCAAAAATAATGGATTACCCTATTAAAATTTTATATTGCAGAATGTCAGGAATATCAAAAAGTTCTGGAAGTGATTATCAGTGCCAAGATTGGAATATCATGACAAAGTGTGACTGTTTGTGACACTTCTCCTGACACAATGATAATTATGATTCAATTTCTCTGCCTCTTATGTGATAATGGATAGTTATGGGAATTATCTTTTTATACAAGGTAAGCTTATTGCATTATCTTTTTATAAAGTTATATTATATATCATTTTATATAATTATATATATTATATTATGGTCTCAAGAGTATCACCAGTGACGCAATCGAATAATCGAATCAAATTGGCTGAGTTCAGCTAACTTTGCAACTGGTATTCGAATTTGAGATGAAATTAAGTTCTATCAAATGCCTAATGCAACGTTTCCTTAATTACTGAAAGGTACAGTAGAGTATACACAAAATATTTCACACTCAGCAAATATAATATAACACCTGATTACATGTGTACACATTGACCCAGCACATGCATGTGTCGTCACAAATTTACAAATTACCACATTTCACAAAACTGAACACAGAATATAAAAAATCACATTACACCAGGGCATATTGTGACAAAATGAAGAATAATATACACAATTTAAGTTGTCCAAATGATCAAATTACATACAAATGAGTAAGTAAGTTCACTAGAACAATTATAGAAAGGAATAAGTTACGTTATATAATTATGAACACGTGTTGACAAATTATATGTGCACATAGGAACAAATAAATGTACATTATATACAACATTCAGCATTGCAAAAGAAGAAATACAAAAAAGAATTCGTTATTTAGTACTTGAGTTGACAAATAACATTACAACAAGACACATATACATGTATACAAGTGGATAAACTACACACAGCATTACAAGAGAACACGTACACTATATATGTACATGGAATGTTGCACATTATAACAATACAAATATACATTTATACAAGTGGACAAATTACACACATGATACGAGAACACGTACACAATATATACATGTATTGACACATTACAACAAGACATAATGTACATTTATACAAGTGGACAAGTTACACACTGCATTGCATCAGAAACTGTACATAAAGAGGAATTTAACACAAATAAGGACATGAGTTAAAATGATATACCTGTACAATTGTTCAAATTACATACAGCGATGTACTAGAACACATAATTTACACTGTACACAAATGTACAAATCACAAAAACAGCATTCGTTGAAAGATCCTTTAATGGTTTGGAATCGTATCATGTGTTTTACTCATTACTTGTTTTTGCCCAAATTTGGTTGTACTTGGACCTTTAAACAATGATCAATGCAAATCGACAGAAGAACACAGTACAGTTTCTTATCATGTTAAATACATTTAAATCATTTGTTTAAAACAGTAGTCGCCATTTGGTTTAAAATTAATGGAATTTGATCAAAATACACGAAATGTTATCAAATTGACATTTGGAGTTTTAATTATTTTTAACCCTGGTCAGAATATGAGACAGATTTA